TCTTTTTTTAGGTTTTAAGTCCTGAATTTGAACAGAGCTTAACAGGTTCGGCAGTTGATAAGAGAAACAGGGATAGACTGGGCTCCTGTAGAGTGGATCTAACAGTAAATCAACTCTTTCGAAAGCATCCACAAGTACAGGAATACTTTTTCTTCGAAAACAGTAATAGTGTCCATTATAGATATAATCGCTGCTAAGGTTTCACTGCCCATTAAACTGGCGGCTTTCAATAATGATTTTGCCGCTAGCACATATCTTCTGTGTTCCAAATCCATCTCACTTCCCCCAGAATTATATTAGTAGGTGTGGACTTCATATATCCCAGAGCTATTCGCAATGCCTCAAATTGAATTTTGTTTATTTGAGCAATGGTCTTTCCTGAACTACCACCCAAAAAAGTAGCTCCATAATCCAAATGGGGTCTGACATAAGCTTTGTAAAAGGTTAGTAGGGTAGAGAAATCCCCCCGCCAGATTCTACTTATAAATCGCATCATATTCAACACGCCTGAAGCTTTCTGCATCATGTTTCTAATTTGTGGCTCCCATGACAGCTTTGGATCAAAAATCACTCCTAGATATGTGATGCTATTTCTCCATGATATGGTTCGAGTGTTGTGGAGTCTGGGGAGCTAATTAACATTGTAATTCTTCCTGGAAAAAAATACAGCTACATTCAAAGACCAAACATGTATATTTTGCAAAGTTTTATTCAAGTTATTGTTGTGCATCAATCCCAGTACTCAGCAAGGCGGTATCGTCCGCAAACTGTAAAAGTCTTATCTTCTCAGGAATTGTTTCCTTAATTGAATTCATATAAATATTAAATAGTAATGGAGAAAGAGGGGAACCTTGAGGCACCCCCTTGCTGGTTGTTCTGCCTGATACAAACGTATTAGTAGATGGATCTTTAACTTGTATCTTCCTGTTCGTGAGAAAATCTTTAATAAGCAAAGTCAAATCTCTGGCTGTTCCAATTTTGACCAGCACCGAGGTGAATAAGTCAACCACAATGGATATGTCCAGCGTCACCATTGCTGCTAGTTCATTGCCAGCCAAACGACAGAGGATCTCTGAGGAGGTTGTCAAAAGTGCCCTTACCCTTTCTGAATCCAGGTTGGCGAACGTCCAGTAAACGTTGGGTCTCTACGAACCATTCCAGTCTGTTTTTGATCATAATTTCAAAAGTTTTGCATATGCAAGAAGCTGGGTTGATGGATCTGTAGGATGATAACACTGAGGGATCTCTCCCTGATTTAGGAATTGCGATCACCATTTAGGTTTTCCACGTCTCTGGGATGGTAGTTTCCCTCCGAAGTATTTTGTTGAAAAACATTGATTAGAAAGACTGCTCCTTCAACAGGAAGATGGCCAAGCACACTGAAAGACACTTTTATTGCATTCGGGGATGTTACGCAACATGGACGGAGGTTGAGTCAAAAGATCAAACATCTTGGGGGATTGAGAAGTTCAAGGGAAAATTATGGTTATTGTACATGGTACCTTTAGCAAACCTTCTAATACTACTCCAAACTTGTTTTGCACTAGTACTGGACTATAGATTCTCACAAAAGTTGACAAAGCCTCCTCTTTCTTCCAACATAGCGATCATTTTCCTATATTGTGCATCATCGGAAATAACCGGTGCAACTCAAGTTTCACAAGAAACTACAATAGTAAATATAATTTCGATAAGGCAGACTGACAGAAGTTTTTCGATTTAATCTCAACGAAATTTAGAACTTCACCTCCTATAAATTACGAGGACTTTATGAATGTAATTTATCTATCTATTGCAGAATCTGTCCCGATGCATAAACCCTTGTTAAACTACGGATTACCTTGGTGGGCTAATGAGTGCACCAATGCCATCAAACGGAAAAGACAAGCATTTAGAGAATATAAAAGCAACCCCTCTGAGGCCCCTTCCTAGAATCATTAAGGACCCGGGAAAACCTTGCAGTCAAAAAGTCCAGACAGTCTCTGGGAACAAAAAGCCTCATCTGCAGCGCTTTACACCCGGCCGTGTGAGGCGAGTAGGTGATCCATCGTTTAGTACACAGAAATCGTAATCCTTAATGAAATTATAAAGAATGTTACCACTTCTACTTCCCCGTGAGTAGCTCACTTAGGAACCCCATATTGGATTATGGGCATTAAAATCTACCATAAAGAGGACTGGTTTATTACGGGTTAGATCGAAAATTGAATCGAGGCTTTCCATGATCAAACAAATATCTGGAGGGTTGTAAACACAGCAAACAAAAAAATCATCAAGCTCTGCAAGATTAACCTGACACCTCTCTGGTATATTGATTCTACTTAAGTCATTATATTTAATTTTGCTTTTCAAGAAAATTGCTGTACCATCTGCACCATTCGGTTTATCTGCTCTTACAGAAGAGAACCCTGATATTTTAAAGTTAGTGTTGGGTTTAAGTATGGTTTCGTTAAACATTAAAACCTCTAGCCTAAAATCCCTTATGACTCTAATGATAGCATCTTTATTTTTTTCAGCCCCGCAAATTTTCCAATGAACAATATTCATTATTCATCAACTATAAAGCACTTGTGTCTAAAACTTAGTTTTGTTATGTAAAAACCACTGTTAGATTAAAACTATTAATAATAGTACCTTTTCTTGTACTAACCCCTGTAGGTCAACCGTTGCCATCCCCGCAGCCCCCCCAGCGTAAGTCAGAAGAACCAATTTTCATCCATATCCTTTATTGACAAGGTGTCTTTCTTGAAAGCTTCAAACCTATTGCAGACTTCTTCTCAGTCATTTCCTTAGGGAGTTACTTCCATTTCCGACTCTGATGTCGAATTTTCACCTATTTGTATAGATGAGACTTTTCTTCTTGCACTTGAGAGTAACAAAATTTGTTCATGGGGTATTTTCTCATACCCTTTTTCTTTTAAGTACTGATGTATATGATGAACAGCCCTGGGGACTTGTTGGATGGGGAGTTTTATTCGGAGTTTTTCTATTTAAACTAGAAAAATCTTCTGGTTTTCGTGAAAAGCCTTGGTTTGTATTAGTTAATCGCGGATGAAGTTTAGCTGCTTCATAAAAAGAAAGGTTGTAGAAGCTCATGGTTTCATTAATTTGTTTTTGTCGTTTGTATTCCTAGCAGTGTGATGTCCCTTACAGTTTACATAGTTTGGAATTCTACACGTTCTACATTTTTTTCATTGCTTGCTCTCTTTTTTCACAATAATCCGCTTACCAACTAACTAACGCCGGTAATGAAGTCGCATTATGCGACATTAAAACGGTTTTTATAGATGAAGAAAAACTCAACAACCGATTTAATTGATCAGTTAAGTAGCTCCATTTATTCCGAGCGAAGCTCTTTACTTAGCCCGGATAGCAAATGTCTCCTGGTCTTAAAAAGAAAAAAAAGATAAAGAAATCAGGTATCCGGACGTTTTCTTTATTTATCCGTACATTATTAAGCATGGAATATCGGACACCCAAAAGTTATTGTGAAAGACGGAACCAAAAATTTAAATTTTAATGAAATAAAGCTTACTAGATTGCCTCTTGTATTTTATTTCTGTGTCCTCGCACCAAAGAGTAAAAATTCTGACGAACCCTAATGTAAAATCCACAGGAATAAGTGTCAGTACTTACTGGGTGGGTACTTGCTTATAATAGTCGTCTAAACTTCGAAAGTGGAGATGGTAATAAATTTCGCATATTATAATTCTTCTACAAAATATTTATGACACCCTAAATGATCTCGCCAATTTATTGAGAAAGTTTAGAAAATATTACCCAAAAACCTCGAAAGTTTCCAAAATATTTCAATTTACAGCCTTTACAATTAGAAAAATAGGACAAATAAATAAGATTAACTAAAAGAAAACTTAATCTACTCCACCAACTTATAAAGGGATATATTACGGAACCGTTTAGGGGCTGTAAGAGCGAAGGTTGTAAAATTAGATTAACGTCACAAAACGAAAATTTGGCAGTACTTAAATATCAAGTGAAACGTGTGCCGCAGCAGTAAGTCAAAATATTAGAATTATTAATTATTAATTATTTTATTATTATTATTATTATTATTATTATTAATTAAAGTTAAGCCTATGTTAAAGTTAAATTGTAAATTATTTTATTATTAATTATTATTAATATGCAGAAATTTGAAGTAATGTTAAGACCAAAAATGTTGAAAGGAAATGAATAAAATTTAAGAAATGAAGGGTTAAATGAAGAGTAAACATTTTAAGAAAAAATTACTTAACAAAGCTTCTGAAAGTATAAGAAATTTTAAAATAACCATAATACCTTAAAACAGAAGTGAGTTGAAAAAGTTGAGACAGTCAAAGTTAACCTGATTGTTCGCCATTCAAATTTTGGAATTTAATATTGCTTTGTTAATCTCCAAAATCTCTAGGAGGTTCAACAAAATCCCTTTGTAAAAATGTAGCATTGTATGTAATATAATATGATTGATGATGATAGTGTTCTTTTGTATTTTTAGGCCATACTTGACGTAAAGTTCACAATGCCAAAGGGCATTAGCTGCCCATGACCCTAGGAAAATTTCCTTAAACTTTAAAGATTATTAAAAAAACCCCTAAATATTAATGCCGACTAAAAATTGTTATCTATGTTTAATAATTATTAAGTCATCCTCTAGAAACACATAAAATTAATTAATAATGTAAGAAAAATAACTTTAAAACAATTATAAAAATATATATTGCAATAAATTTTCAAAATGATATCCCCTTGCTTAAAAGATAAGTTAATTCTTCTCAAGAAAAGGGTAATTCTTCTCTAGTTTTGAAATCCCCTTTCTATTATTAACAAAGTGAACTACGACCGACGTCAAAAATACTTTATTAAAATTCGCGTATCTTGACATACCAAACGATTAGTGATGAACAAATTAACTTAATATGTAATAATAATAAAAGAGGGGATTTCCCGCAAATACACGTACCTATTGCATCATCATTCACGATTGTCTGGTAGAACAGCTACCGCTTAGCGAAATTGTTTGAAATCTCTTATAAATATTTGCCGAGAAACTTGATCTGAACCAGTAGTATGTAAGATGCGTATCGTAGTTATTTACGGCTTTCAATTATGGTGGTTGTGTTGTGATGTCGCTATTAAATAAATTTCTATCTAGACCGGAAGTCAAATAAGTCATTATGTGTTGAAACCCCCGAGTGATCATTTGAGCGGTGCAGAATAAGGGACTGTGCGCTAGCTGGTGCATTTTCAACACCGCCTCAAATAGAGCTCGGGTTTTGTTCAATATTCGGAAACTGATATGTAGATCATGCAACTGAGAACTGAAAAGGCCGAACTTGATATACGTGAGAGCACGAACAAAAATGGAATTTTTAATGCAGAGAGATAGAGAGATAAAGCAATATCAAATTATAAAAAAGAACATAAAACACCAGAAATATATGGCAACATTACTTCAAGCAACCAAAAAATCGAATCAGAAATAAAATCTGGTGTTATGGGGGTGGACAACATTGGTCGCACAATTCCCAAGAGAACTCATCCGTCCGTATTTGGAGATTGGCTGTGAATTTGTTTTAGGAAAGAACAATGCACGGCTGAACTTGTATGGCGAAATTTCGATTTATTTTTCATTTATACGGTGAATCTGAGCGGTGTAGCTGCACAGTACCAAGCTTGATTTTTTGCTGATGATACACAATTGTATAGTAGTATTCTTTGCTTCGATGTCTAACTTTACGTCGACAGTGCCGGATTTCATACAAAATTATTACAGATTAAGTTGATTTCCCAGTCACTCATGTGTTTTCAGATGACGACTTAATAATTATTAAATGTCAATAAAAATCATTAGTCGGCATTAATTTTAAAGCGTCTTTAATAATCTTTAAAGTTTAAGGAAATATTCTCAAGCTCATGGGCAGCAGTGCATTTTCACAAGCTTTCCCAAGCATTCCCTCCTAAGAACTATTAGCTCAGAATTATAAACATACAAGCAGCGTTATAAATTTTGCTCTAAAGACTCAACATGCCTAAAAGCGCTAAGGCTAGGTAACCGGCTTCCGGATGGATTTGGTCCAGATACAGGGTGTTCGTCCACTTATTATATGAACTTTAATATTGATTTCTAACGTACTAAAATTAAAAGTGAAAAAAAAAAACAACACTTTCTATACATTAAACTGGAATAGTTCAATGTTCTTTTATATCTAACGCTATAATTTTGTGTAACGACCCCAAATCAAAGTTACTTAGCTTCTATTTAAAAAAGCATTTACTTCTTCCTGAGCAAAATAATTAAAGTGTAGAGATTAAGTGTAAATGTATATATGTGTAATTTAAGTTACATATTTGATTGTTATAATTTTATGATTACTTTTACTCGTAATTTGGAATGTGTAAATTGCATTCACATGTGGGTTAAGTGTGAGTGGTTCCATTTACAGCCAGACTTCGCCCATGTAATGTTAATAGGGAATAAATATATAAATAAATAAATAATATCGAAAATGGAGCGGATCCAACGTACAGAATAATTAACGCGGAGAATTTCGACGATGACAAAACCGGACCATGCTCGCTGTATTCAGAAGAAAACTGCCCATGTGTGCTTTGATTAATTCTGCCCTTTTATACAATTGGTTGCATTCAAAGGTTCTTGCATGAAATAAAAGATTTTTTATTTTATTCAAGACTTTTTATTTAGATTTAAAAAACAAACAAAAACACATTTACATGAACATATAAAGGACGCTGATGCCAGGGTATGAATACAAAATGCGAAACTGCAATCTAATAATAGTATATTATGCAACAAGTGCGATAAACGGCATTTGACTCACGAGTTTTTCATAAACGAGTAACATCATTTCAAGGGTATGAAATAAATCCACGCGTGTATTTTGCATTTGTGCATAGTATTATGACTTATTGTTGTAGGTTTCCAAGAAACGCTGACTTCAAGTAAGGTGTGCGTTACTAGGATTTGCCGAAAACCAAAAACCGAAGTTTATAGAACACGATGGATTTAAATTTTTCAAACGAGATGTTTTTCCAAAAATATTTAATGTCGAAGTTTTTAGACCACAAAAATCAAGGTGATGCCGTTATCTGAATTTGGCTATGGAATGTTAAGTGTTTCATGTTTAGTTCTTCAGATTCATAATCTCGAAGAAGTCCTTGAAAATATCTTAAATTGTTTCTCCTGAAATTAGAATAGACATTAAAAATGTGGTTTCATTAAACTCTTACTTTTTCCAAAAACTCACTTTTATAACGCATTATGAGTGAAAGTTTTTTCAAGCATTCTCGAAAAATGTTTGCGTAAAAAGCTTTAAAATAAAGATATTTCATATGAAATTAAAGCAATTATGAACTTGATATTTGTGTTTTGACTATAGTGAATTCCAATAGATATCTTTTATTATTGTACAGAAGTTACTTTATCCAATATTACAAATTTATTATTTATAATACGGCTATCATTCATTGCTCTTCTCGCGAAATGTTTTCTCCAACGCTACATATTGTCGTCAAAACAATGGCAATTTAACGAACAATTCTTGGTTGGACGTCTGTCGTCACCTAACGACCACTAGTCACGCACATCCATGTGTCGGGTTTGTAACATGCCTTAATAGAATTTCAGGATTTCTACAAATTACCAGTGGATGTTGCCGGTCCCGCTGTTTTTGCAATACACGATGGCAGAAGGGGGCTGGAGGCCAGTTTTTGGTATCAGTCAAAGTGCTTTTTTGCAACCAAAGACAAGTGTTGCTTATATTTCCCTCTTTGTATACGTGTTGGTCTATGATCAAAGAAAAAATTCCTCGACAGATCGCGGCAATGGGAGAATGTCCTAAGTAAAATTGTCCACGTAAAACCGAGGTAGAAAAATAATCAAAGCCACACGCACACCCACATCGCCGTAAATAGGACATCAGAAAAATACTCTTGCTAAGAATAGACGTCTTCCATCCATGGTAGAGGACAGTTATATCGGCAATTTATATACGCCAATTTTGCGAGAATATATTTCGCACGTGCCACAACGACGGTAATGACTTCCAACTCGAAAAAGTTCGAGAACTGTGAACTAAAAATGATGCTTTCATCAGGATTCATACAAAGAAGGAGGGTTATTAGTATAGAAAGTTCGAGTAGGTTAGGATTTTATTGATGTTATTTAGGCCTTTGATGCAATAAATCTAACTTAATAGATATATTTTTATTACCGAAATCTTTGTTATTTGATTTCAAACTTTTTTCTTTGGCGTTTGCCATTTTCTTTCTGGGATATTTGATAAGTACAAATTTTCCAACACTTTTATTAGAAAGCACGAATGAATACTCAACAATCACAGAGTATAACTAGTGCCCATACTCTCCACCAGTAATCCTCACACAATTATAAAGAAGAAGAAGAACCTAGTAACCTGACACTTTAATTTCAAAATTGTTATTTACAAAATTTTCAATGATTAGATCATGTTTGTAGATTTCACACAATGCCAAATTAATATGTTTCATAGGTAACAATGATCAGACCTCTAAGATATTTGCATTTTTTCAAAATTCCCCAAAAGGAGAAGAAATATGTTGCCAGAAAATTGATCGGGTAGGTCGTTATGCAATTTGCTATAATTTGTGACGTATTTTGTTGTTTTTAGATACTCCAGTGAGCAAATGTATTCGGTTGTTTCGGACGTGAAAAATTACCGACAATTTTTACCTTTTTGCACCCAATCAATCATACTGGAATGCAAAGATGATGTTATATATGCAAATTTAGAGATAGGGTTTCCTCCGATAGTTGAAAACTACACATCAAAAGTACTGCTCATAAGGCCCCACATGGTCCATGCTGTGGGTCTTGACGGACGATTGTTTCATTCTTTGGAGACTGTATGGAAATTTGCCCCTGGACTAAAAAGCAATCCCCAGTCTTGTATTGTTGACTTTAGTGTCAGATTCGAATTTAAATCTGTTATACACAAACAACTGGCATCCATGTTCTTCGATAAGGTGGTCATGCAAATGGAATCTGCTTTTTTTAATGAAGCAAAAAGAAGATATGGCAAAGAATCAGTACCTAGTCATATTTTAAGTTATGTAAATAATTGAATTTACCAGTGATATTATGCTTATAAAAACATAAATAAGTAAATTGCATGTATAAAGAAACAACACCAAATTTGCTTAAGTTCTTTAAGAAAAATGAGCTGTCCATACCGCCCTCTCTTTGAAAAAGCATTTCAAGATTGGAAAACTTTAAATTATTGTTATATTAAATCAAACGGTATAGATATAACAACTCTTGATATTCTATTCAAGAACAAATATCTAACTTTGTGTGCAATAAGGACATGTACAAGGTGTCCCACATAAGATCCTTTATACCTAAAGGTATCGAATTTACAAAGAAAAGTTAAATGCAATGTGTTTTTATTTTTAAGAGAACTCTTAAATTATATGAGTTGCACATCAATGTTTGCAGGAAAAGGGAACAAATTTGAAAACTTATGTGGATTGAATTTTATGTATAATTTTTAGCTATCTCTTGTTTTATAATTTCGATGGCTAAAGTCAGTCAAAGTTTGTTTTGATATCTTTTGGAAAAATTTACTGTTGGTTGTAAAGGTTTTTACTTGCAAGTCTCAGACTTTATTGAACTGATCTGATATTATCCCCATATTGAGCTTTTAAAATTACCATTTTTAATTGCTATTTTTTGAATTGGATAATTCTATAAGAGCAAAGTTTGACTTGACTTTGACTTCCTGAACTTACCCGAGTTAGTTTCAGTGATTTAAAAAATCCAGGCCTGAGGTCATATTGATGTCTAACAAATAAACACCAGATTTCATTTCATCCCTATGTTCACATAATAATGCAAAAATAAAATGAAAGCTGAGTAACGTTAAAAATAAACCTGGAAACATTTCTTCGGCTTAGTGAATCTTACCCAACCTTGTTGTTGTTCTGATCTCAAATTTATATTCCCGGGACCTCGGTGGCCAAGTGGTTAAGACGCGAGTATCCTATCCAGGCAGTCCTTGTACCCAATTCCAGTTTATAAAATAGTTTTTCGAAAGCAAAACTCACTCTAGACGTAAAAACTATTGAATAAGAATAAAACACATTGGGAACTTATCCCTAATGATGTTACGAACCTCGAGGAGATATTCCGAGGAAGGGGCCATCGTAGCTATAACCGTTGGTATGAATCGGAATGTTTTCCCGACATTGTTCGGTCTAAATTATCACTAACTCAAAACTCGGGACTCAAATGCATTCTACCAAACTTTCATTAAGAGTTTTAGTAACGATGGCCAAATCGTTCCGAACGTTGATTAGTGAAAAACATGAAAATTTCCGTTTAGATAATTAGTTCAAAGCTCGGGCCTGCTTTGCATATATTTCCTTTTTTGACAATCATATATTTAATTAACCTGTTTCATTTTTTTAAATTTGGAAATCGAAACCAGAACACATTTTATATTTTAAAAAATTAATTTGTCGTGAAACGTTAAATAATTTAAAGAACTTAAGCAGCGTAAAAACGGGACATGACTTCGCTGTGACGTCACTCCCTTTATCAGATTCGGCGGCAACGTCTATTCGGCATGCAAAGTGGCAGGTTTAGCGTGTAATAATGTAATAATGCAAAACGAGTCAGAAGAAAGTGCCTAATATGTGTTCTGTGCTTTTCAACTTCGAGAAATGCTTCAGAAAAACTATAAACGTACCGAACCGAAGTGAGAAGAATTTGGCAGAATGCGATGTTTCGAGGTGTTTTTTTAGGCAAAACTCGTGCACTGTTATGGAGGCCATTTTGACTAAAATCTTTTAAACTCAATACTTGTCAATTTACCAAATTTAAGCTGACTATGGTACTTTACTAATCATATTTTATCGCGCTTTTTGATCAAAGAGCCTACCGCGACTATCCTGCGAATTTGTGTGATCCATATGTCAAGTGCAACCCGCGACCAACTTCGCACAAACTTTCTAGTTCTACTATTAAGATTTTCCTTTTCCTGTTGCCATAGACGACTTGACCGTATTTTTGTCCTTTCTAAAGGGGGCTAATAAATGGAGATTTTCTTCTGCGGATTTCCCGATGAACTGACTCTTTTTTTTGTTTTTTAAAGTAATCTTTATGCTTGGGATCCCACAATTTTTTGATTAATTTGTAGGTCTGCACTAAACTTAACGTGCTTTTATCCGAACACTCCATATTCAATAACTATCGCGTTGTCCGATTTCCTGCAAACGAACTATCACGAACCCGTCCCACTGGACGCGCAAAATTCCTTTGAGCTCGCGCCAAAAACCGTCAGAAAACGCCTACGCCGCGCGGCATGAGGAAGGCTCGCGAGCCCTGTATAAATTTCACGAATCAGGCTCGTCATTCGCGCGGCTCAGGTGCGTCGCGACATATTAATACCTTAAAATTACTACATATTATAAATACAACTTATTAAGTTACCAATGGATTTCATACGTTTTAAATAATTAGCCGATGATTAATTTGATAAGAATAGTTTTTACAAAACTTCTGGATTCCTCCTGCGTCCGTTTTTGCTGAATCGAAGTTGCTAACGTTTCGCCAATCACACTGTTGGGTTCTTCAGAGCTTAACTGAAACTGGCATATGTATGGTACGCTGTAATGCACATGCGGCAAAGAATACATTGGAGAGACCGGACGAAAAATATCAACCAGAACATGAAAGAGCCTTAAGACTACGACAAATAAACTCATCAGCGGTTGCCGAACACAACCACGAAACCAGACATAAAAACTTTATTCGATAAACTAAAATTCTTGCATGTAATCAATTCCTCTATCAACGAAAAATCCGAAAGTCTATAGAAATATATAAGCAACCTAATAATCTTAACCGTGACTCAGATCTTTACCTCTCACCAATATGGAAATCAGTCATCCGAGACGGTGTTTAGGCCCCTCATTTAGCTCCGCCCCCGTCAAACAATATATAAGTAGGTACAGTTTCAGTCCAGCTCTGAATAAGTCAACAGGATGATTGACGAAACGTTAGCAAGTTCGACTCAGCAAAAACCGACGCAGGATGTATCCAGAAGTTTTGTAAAAGGTATTACAGTAGGCTCTGGAAAGTCCTTTGAAAAACTGATCAGAATATTTAATTTCATAAACAAAATTATTGACTTCATTTTTAGATAAAACATTACATTACAACTATGAACTTAATTGCTCAGTTTTTTTACAAAAAATCCCTCCTTAACCGACGGCGAAGTAAAAATAAGCTTCCTTTTCACCACCTTGATATTTTAATAAATTAATTTTATTGATAATCATGTGAAACTATTTATATAGGCGGTACCTTCAATTTGTTTTATGATACCTTAATTTATTTGGCCTCTGTTAGCCCACCCTAATGGAACCTGTAACTTACCTCTGCAATTCTATTCCGTCGCATTACCGTACTTAAAAAGGCTTTATTTTAATTAAAATTTTCCAATACTATAAATATGCCCATTGAATCGGAGTAATCATGTTGCAAGTAAATACTTACACACAAAGAACACTGTTTAAGGATTATAATGAATGCAGGCAAGGACATCACGAATCCGTCGACGCTTTTTGGCGCCTTACGATCTTTGATCTTAAATAACTTCAAAATTTTCATAGTATGCTTCAACTTTTGTCGAATTAAGTGAAGAAAAAAAAAACAAAAGAGAATGTCGCAAACCAGGGTATTATTAAAAAGTATGTTCGTATCACGTATTTTTTTACTTAAAGAAACGTTACTACAGAAAACAGATGTGAGGGGGAGAGGGACAAAAATAAAACATTAATGTTATTGCGAAATATATATTGCGCATAATTTCATTTCCTCTCCATAAACTTTTTAAATGTTAAACAACAGCTTACATCAAGTTTCTCAAATGATCCAAAATATTCGATTTATCATTTCAAACGAATATAGAGGAAAGGCACCTAATATGACATTGGCACCTATTATGAGACACCATATTATGTTCTCGTCAACTGACAGTCGTCATCTAGCGACAACGTCCGAAATTAATTTATCGTACGGTGAAATCTGAAATCAGCTGGAATTGATTTTAGTTGCTGTCAATACACGGCACGTGTATGTGGGTTTATGCGTTTCTGCAATATCAAAATTTGAGGTGATTTTTTTGTTTAATAGATAAGAAAATTAATAGGTTTTGCTTATTTGCTTTGTTGTGTGGACGTTGTTTTATTGTTCGAAATAAATAAAATGAATAAAAACTTATGTGATGTTTGGAAAAAAACATGTAAATAATTTCTTGCTAAGGTTCCTAACATGAGGTACAACAAGGATCTTAATATAAGATACCTCATATTAGGAGCGCTTTTAGTTTTGTTATAATTGTAAGAAATTTTTTTGCAGACGCTTAAACATATTAAAAATGCAGTGGGATCATGATTAGCGCTGTTAATGCAGTAAGAAATAAGGTGATGGGGTACTTTAGGGCCTCCAAAATATTCAATGTTCCAACTCACCAAAACTACTTCACTTCCTTTTGAAAGAAAAATTACTGAATTCAAATGGAAACAAAGTATTTTGGTCTTCAAAGGAGAAATATCAACTATATGGCGTTCGAATTAGCAATTATAAATGGTTTAAAGCATCCCTAGTTATCCGAGTTATCGGTATATACTTCATAGGCAAATGCGAGGGTGCCGAAAACGTTGCACAATTCTTCAAAATATTTGAAAAGGAGATGGAAAAATATAATTTTTCTTCACATAGGTCACACAAAGTTGACCAAACAGGTATCACGGTCGTTAAACAAACAAAGTAAAATCATTGGCTTGAAGGAAAAACCGGTTGTGCCATAACATCACAAGAGAAAGGAAAACTCCTTACAGTTGTGACAGCTTCTGGTACTTTTGTTCCTCCTTTATTAGTGTTCCCTCGTAAAATCAAAAACTAACCAAGAAAAAAGGATCCAATTTTTTTAATGTTGCATCACTTAATTCATCTAGAAAAATAGGTCTCTTTCCTTGCAACAAAAGTGTCTTCAGGCACACTGATTTCTTGGAAGGAAAGCAAAATCGACCATTACAAGAAACAAATAATGAAAATGGGGTCCTTTAGAATATGGCTGTTGATCTTCCAAAGTCTAAGAAACCTGTAGCAAGGCAATTCCATCAACCAAGATCAAGTCTGATAAATATGATTTGCTGGTCTCTGCAAAAGATGTTTGCTCAATGCCATCAACCTCTGCAAATACTAATAAACAGAAAGGTAAAGCAAGTTTAATAACATACAAAAAGAAGTTGGAAGAATCCCTAACAAAGAAACTAAAAAAAACAAAGAAAATAAAAAACCAAAGCCTCCAGGACCAAGAGCAAACAACAATCCAAAGCTAAAAGTACCAAAAGGGCTAAAATTGTATCAAACAGATTCATTATGACGACTCAACTGATGATTGAACAATAATTTTATTTTAGTTCCTCTCCTTATTTTTCTAGGTTTTCTATTTTGAAACAGTCCTTCATTGGGAGACAAAATTTGAAAATAACAAAAATTGACTTTTCTACTTTTTATTACTTCACCAAAATAATTAATATTTTGAATAATTTTAACGTTATAAATTAAAAGTATACACAACGGTCTAGCCTTTGCATATTTTTAAACATTCTTACCCCTTTATTTAACAAAAATAAAAAGGTGTCTCATATTAGGTGCATTTCCTCTAAAGATAACCAATCTGCGCAGTAAAGGGTGTAACGACATGAATATACATGACATTTAAACACCTATACAGCAACCATTGAAAGCTACATGACACATTTTAAAGTACATTTGGAGGAAATTTGTGGGTAAGATATGGATATCAGAACACTGAGACATTTGTCTGGAATGGAAATAGAAACATGTACAAGCACAAATAGATGGCCATGGCCCAGGTAGACATTTGTGAAGGTCAAAAGTTGTGAGATATATGGCCTTGCTTTGCAGTTATCCTTCATTCACTTTATTTCATACAGAATTACCTCCATTCAAATTTGTCATCCAAATTGAAATTTGTGAAAGGGTGACATTGGAGGCAAAACAGGATATGTATGATTTGGGTCAACTGGCACGATGCGGAACGATTACCCCAAATACCCATTGCCATAACATCACGAGAGGAAAACTCCTCACAGTTGTGACAGCTTCTGGTCCTCCTTTATTAGTGTTCCCTATCCCTATGTTAATGGGAAACGCTTCTCGATAGATAAAAAATTTATGAAATAATACATGTGGGATGAAAAATATTGGGCTAATAGCGAATATATTAAATACGGGGGAGGAAGAATAAAGTAGATTTGGCATTCATGCTGGATACTAAATACCATCAACTTTGTTATGTCGGTGCTAAATTTCTAACTTGATACATATTTCTACTTTGTCTATTGATTATACCAACATTAGACACATAATATGGTGTTACAAAATTCATTCAAAGACTCAGGGGTCAGCACAAAAAAACGTAATTATTTTCGATGTACAATGTTTGGAGTTGAAAAATTGTAAAATTGAAGAAAACCACTTAATTTAATTACTAGCAGTTTTTTATTGGAACAATTTTTTCCAGATTTTACTTTTGACTTTTCAGATGGGGCATGCAATAATAACTAGCGAAAATTCACAAAAAGACAGTGGCTAGGTACATACTACGTAAAACGTTATATTTGAAGTGGACACCAGAAAATTAATTCAACCACATTGTCCTGAGGTACATATAAAGACATTTATAGCGAACATTGCACAGCACAGCATGCACCTAAAATTAAATTAGAGATAAGACATCTCCCAAAAGGAAAAACAAAATATTTTCTGAAAATACATGCTTAAGCACAAAAACCCTTTGAATGAGTCCTAGGATAGTAAACCTATGACCTGCCTAAAAACTGTAAGCGTGAAGTGCACACGATGCAACGTCAGATAAGTAACTACAAGTCACACTTGAAGATCAGATGTAAATTAAAACCAAATTTGAGAAAGCCCCATTTTGATTTCTAACCTCTAAATTAACAATTTTTCTAATGAATTTTGCAACACCGGCCAGCTATTTACACAAAGATCTTTATGATTCCTGATGTTGATCAAAACGATGCGATATAAATCCGAGTTAATCTCGTACTACTCGCCCCTAAACGCAAAAACTAAAAGCTGCCTCCATCAGAAAATTTTCGTTGTCAACTCACCCCGCCCGGCTACAAAACCAACAAAAATGCCCAAAGGGTCCAGGCTAATCGTCTTCAGTCGACACGCCTGGAGCCCAATAGGTTAGAGATCATATAACGACCGCTCCCGCCTCCGCCCTGGTCTCGGACAATGGCGGGCAGTCGGACCATGAGTTTGTGTACGGATCGAAACATTCGACGTCGGCGATGGTGCACTGGGCTCTGTAGAACGGAGTCGCGTGCATCTGAGCCCCTCCTATGACGTACAAGAAGCCATCAATCGCGGACACAGCGGGCCCACTCCTTTCCAGCTTCATCGGCGGTACCATTTCCCATTTGTTCTAAAAAAAAAGGAAATCCGTAGGATCAAAGTTCAAACTTTACATCGCCAAACTAAAACTAAATAAAATAGAATTAGTTCAAAACATTCCATGGTATTGGTGATTTTACAACTCAATGAGACCCCTGGCGGACTGCTTCACAAGTAAAGTATGGAATGACGGCGTTGTCACATAAGTTTCATGTTTGCGTTGTATGGATTGTTGCTTCAAAAAATGGTTCGTCCGCGATTCAACACTGGCTGTGTCGATGGATGTCACTCAAGAAACAATAAATAACAGTTCTATAAAAAACGTACCTAGCACACTGCAGCAAGATACAGTAAAAACAAAATTTGTTGCACTGTTAGGTCTCCATAGAAAGCTTTATAACGAATTTCTCACTCTCTATAATGAAAGAAAAAAGGGCACATCAGGTAACAAAGTAATGAATATAGGCCGACTTGTAATAAAAAATTAAAAATCATTGATTTTTTGAAAAAAACATTGATTTTTTTTTAAATCACGATTTTTTTTAATTGTTTAGATTTTAATTTTTTTTTTAATTTCGTAAAAATATGTATTTCCCGTTTTTTTTATAGCACTTTCAAAATACTTTATAGCCACTATAAACAATATAGTACAATATACTCATACACATTTAAAGATTTCGTTTTAAAACCAATTGAATATTTGTGAAAATAGTTCAGGTACAAATAAAAGTGTCAATATATTAGTTATATTTTTTATTTAATAATGGTGACGATCTCAAATAACCTACCATCTAATCATTTGCACTGCTTGTATTTATCGCTTACTGCCTTAATATTTCGTCCAACTACCTTAATTTTTTTATAACTTTTATTAGTCTTTTAGACATGCTATCAACTAATTCCTTAAGTGAATTAGTTGAAATATGATGTTCTGTATCGGATTTGGGTCTGGACTAACTGCTGGCCATTCTAATAACTAATACAAAAGTCTTGAAACTACCGTTTTGTAGTTGCAGCTATAAGTGTGTGCGTTATCCTGTTGAAAAATTATGTTTTCATCTTCAGTCGCCGTAATGAATGGTAGAAGAATCATGTAAAATTGCTTGATAACTAACAGCAGTCATACACCCAACGATAAATGCCAATTCGGTTTTTAAGAATACCGCCCCAGACAACTAACCTCCTCCATTAATCCTTCGAAGCATAATTTGTCTATCAAATTTCAAATCATTATAATAATACTTACATCCATGTGGATCATCAATATTGAATTTTTTTCCATCACTAAATATGAGACGTTGCCAAAAGTCATCCTTTATTACATATTTTTCTGCAAACTTAAGTAGATTAAATTTATGTTGTGTTTTCAAGATTGGTTTACTAAGACATTTTTGATGTTTGAAATGTTTTGATTCAGCTGCCCACATTCTTATTAAACTCGGATCACAATTTGGATTACATCTACGCAACGGTGCTGTTGATAATACCCCGGTAGTTGTGCGTTCTACGTTCGAGAAAAACAGACGAGGGTGCCCTGAATATTTTTTTTACCACAGTTTTCGATTCCTGGCTTTAAACATTTTTTCGCGGCATATTAAAAGGCAAAACAAAACTGCACAGATAAACCCATTATATTAATATTAATAATTAATAATAATATTAATACGTCTTAAGACAAATGACCTACTTCTCAGCGTCAAGGTGAAATAAGGTAAAACTAAGTTCACACAGCAATCGCACCTATTTTCATTTGCGTAATAAAATATTGAAAGTATTATAAAAATATGTTGGAGTCGATATGTTTTCACAGGTCTGTAAGTATTCGTCAGAACGCGCTTTTGGCAAGAAAATTTGTCAAGATCTGTTTTTCCCAGATCTATAAATTTTCATCAAATACGTCTCGCTTATTTAATTCGTGGTTTGTGAAAGGAGTGGAACTAGTGGAAAATGGAGCATTTGTTTTATTATTACTTGTTTCATTTTTATTTCACTTTCTATCTCGTACAAGGTATGGTATTCACAAAAACGTTTTTAAAAGAATTATTTGTTATTGTTTAGAATTTTTAGATACTTAATTTTATTTTTTAGGACACATAAAAAAATATTTCGTATTCATGTCGTATAATTTCTTTATCTTGGAGAAGAATGTACACGATTTTCAACTTAGTAAAAAAAAAGGCTATGTATGTATTTTTTACCGCATATGCACGGAATGCCATAAACTCATGATATCTCAAACGGAATTTTGTCTTTGACAGATCGAAGATGTGGAAAGATTTGTTGGACAAGTGCTAAATCTGTTTTTAATATTATATTTCTCAAGAAATTTTAATATGTGGTCAGTGATGATATGTGCTGAAGTGTATTTTGTGGCGGAATTCTTAATCTGTCTAATGCGGAAGTTATTATAGAGCAAAGCAGATTTCATGTGTTTTCATTTAGTGACCGGGGCTGAGATAGTTTTGCGGCTATGTAAACAGGAGAGTTGGAAACAGATGATTTTTGGGACTGATGGTGACGTGACAATACATTAAGGTATCGGTCTGTTTGTGTAGGCTTTCTGTAAACAGAATGACCTAATGTTAGGTCTGCTGTGCTATTAATAAAAATATCTAAGAATAGATTATTTTTAGTTTTTAATTCAACGATATGGTGTGTGTATAGAGTTTAAATGGCTGCGAAAATCTGCGAAGGATTCTAGGCCATTAAGCCAAATAACAAAAGGTTCCGCTCTCTCAAACATTATATAAACGGCTATAGAGTAAAATGCCAGTTGCAGTGAACTTCCGAAGAAGCCAACAGGAGAAATTCAAAGTAAATATTACAGAAGCTTTCGGAAGTTTCTTTCAAAAATTAGTTTGGATAGATGGCCGAAGAAAATATTAGAATGGACATCGCTGGAATGGAGAAAAGGGGATGATCGCGGAGAAACTGGATTTCATAAAATTTAGAAAGAAAAATACATTCATCAAGAGAAAAAATTAGAAATTTAGAAAATGCAGAAAAACCAATATATAGAACTTCGGGAGATGCTTCTCGAGAACACAGTGACTTAACATTTAAACAATACCTAAATAATTTTTGTTTATAATTAACCATAGGAAGTACAAAAAATATGAATTTTATTTCACACATACTTCCAAAAAGACTACAATTATGGGCAAAGTTAGTCCAAGTACTTCATCGTGCTGAATGTTAGGTCTGTATAATTAAACTTAGTGGGGTAACTTTCTTCATTGCTTTAGTTTTCATCAGATCTAGTATGTTGACATTATTCTAATTTCTCACAAATCCGAAAAATGTCGGATCTTTTGGAATTACTATTTTATTTATCTTCCAATATCAAAAATATAGAAGCAACATCTTACCAGAATGTTACCAAAAATTGGATTTTAAACTTGCCGTACCTATTTAGCAAACAAAGAAATATTGTTTATTCGAAACCTATGTTTGTTGTTGAATATCAGAACAACCTAAAATGCAGAAAGGATCCATAATGTTCTCAATAAGTTTCCATTTTAGTTCAAGGACCAAGCTCACAATAATCCACAAACTACAAAGCAAAAACGAAAATTTCAACAAGATTGCAAAATAATGCTAATCATCAATATTATGTGCTTGCTTTAAAATGTACTTACAATGGGTGGTATGTGCAAGTCTCTTAAAGACTAACCAACCGATACCATCTTTGTGAAAAGAAGAGAGGACAAGTTAAGAACAAATCACGAAATGCACTTGGGATATGTCATATTAACTTGTTGATTTTCATAAAAGTTATTCTCAAATTGTTGTAGTTAACATTTTAATGTTAACATGTCCATTCTATAAAATCGAATTTTTTTCTAGCACAATTTGATCAGGGAGGTCAGGTGAAGACAATATTCGCCTTGTTCACACAGATATGGTTAGAAACAAATGCCTTCTCCAGTCCAAATTTGGAAAACCATACATTCTTCATCAGGATGGTAATTGTATGATAAGAAACCGGTGTTTAAAATGGTTAAAAGTACCAGACTGTCAAAATCTTGAATCTTACCTTTTTAAAAGAATACCTTTCGACGGAGTTGAGCACCTGCTGTTTATGGGTACCCCCCACCACATACAAGTAATCATCCAATACGACCACACCCATTTGGAACCTGGCAATTGACATAGGTGGCAATTTCTGCCATTCGCCAGTAGCTGGATTGTATTTCATCAAGTCTTGCATATTACGCTGATTCAGAGAACATCCACCCACCATATAAATCCGATCTTCATAGGCAACCACACCCATGCTAAACCTTGGCTCCGTAAGATTCCCCACTAGTTCCCAATGGTCCACCTTCGGATCGTATCGCTCAATTGAGTCGCACATATCGGAATCGACCCAACCTCCCATTGCGTAGAGGTAACCGTTCATGGCACAGAGGCCAAACTCACACCTGGATATCAGCATGCTAGCGATAGAGGTCCATATTTTGGTTACCGGATCATATCTTTCACAGCTGGATAGAATATTTGAATCCTCCTCGCCTCCCACCACATAGATGTGCCCGTTCATGGACGCCACGCCAGGTACTAAGCGGTTTACTTTCATATCTGGCAATTTGGTCCATTTTCTGATAAAAACAAATAAAGTGTAACCTATTCGGCACTGGACATTACTCAATCCAACCTGCTAAACGTGTCGAATTTCTCAATGGATACATAGCTCATTTCAAGACCCCGATCCCAAACGCTGTGCAATTCCCTCTTTGAGCCGCCGATAACATAAATGTCCTTCTTGGCGCATTTTCGAGGCTTGACATTTAAAGGTACCAGACAACCCCTTCGGTTAGCTATGTCGCTGCGTACCGACTTTAAAGCCACCTTGAGGCTGCTATCTGAACAGTTTTCGATCGCCTGTTCCAAGAAACCTGAAAAGGAAATGATCAATTGACATCAATATTCAATAGTACTTAAAATCCCGATCAATGTTCAAATCACAGACTTTTAAAATTTTCATTAGAAAAAAATGTAAAAAAAAAACAAGATATTGTTGGGGAACTTGGAATATGGCCATAATTGCCACTGATGTAAAATTTGCAATGTTGCCGGTTTTACCCGAAATCAAAAAAGATCAAATGGAACATATAGTTTATTCTTCCAATAATTGTTTCTACACCGGCATCTGCTATCTTGTTCGCAAAAAAAAAAGATTTTTCTTTTTTAACCCCGCTTCGATAAAGTGTGATATCTTGACGTAAAAACAATTAACAGTTTCATGAAAAACTGTGCATGTTATATCGACAATATTTTATACAGGGGACGCCGAAGAAGTGCACTTCTAAAAGAAATGTAGTAATAATAAACCAACAGCACATACTTATCAAAAAGGTGGTAGCACTGAGGGTCAGCTGTGGTTACCTGTTGTGAATCAAGGCCAAAACTCAAAGGTTTCTAAGTCTATAATGTCTTGCTCCTGAGTTTGCACTCAAGAATTTCGTCCATACAAATCCGCAGAAATTTAATAGATTGTTGATTTAGCTGTCTCACTATTATAGAATTAAGAGAAATGGAGCTGAGACGTGTGTATTCACTTCGCCTACTGATACTGATTCATAAATTATATATTTTTTATTTCCATCTCAACCAATAAATATCCAACCGAGGCAAATACCTCATAGACGATTTCCAACAAATCGGGAAGTTTTCGGACCCCCACGAAATGTCTTCAAACCCAATCAAATATCACCCAACCAACTTCCTAAACCGACACCAATGTCAGGTATCTCGAGACAAACAAATAATTATTTACAAGACGACCGATAAGATAAAATTATTTTACTAACAACAATCAACCCCCGAATTTTATAGCCGAAGAAATGTTTAATCAAGAATGCGATGAAAAATTTGATTATTCTGTTAATCAAAATGAGTATAATGATTACGACGAATTTGAGGAAAATTATGAACAAAATGAGTATGAATATACATCGCATATCGAACAAAACGTTGAAATACAAAATCCAAATGATGAAAACAACCAACCCTAGTAGAAATTAATTTTTCTTCTAAACAACGCTTATCGTATATTCAAATACGTAAACAAAATATTAAAGTACTAATAGACACGGGTAGTTCACGCTCGATATTATGTCCAACTATTGCTAAAAAATATTTTTTCCAATCAAATATACAAAACAATCAAACGCAAACTTTAAACATCTTTATAGAAAATATCAAAGTCGAACACAAAATAATTCATTGATTCTTTTAATACGTGCAAAAATGTGCTAACTTCGGATCCAGTATTATCTTATCCCGACTTTACAAAGAAGTTTGAATTAACAACCGACGCATCAAAATATGCCATCTCAGAAATTTTATCCCAAGACGGACCAATATGCTATGCATTAAGAACGCTAAACCCGTCAGAGATAAACTACTCGACAATTGAAAAGGAACTCTTAGCAATTGTCTGGAGCTGTAAATATTATAGACCTTATTTATTCGGACAAAAATTTATTATTTACACGGATCATAAACCCCTACAAATATCATTAAAAGAGCCAATTTCTCGACTCGTTAGATGGAGACTTAAACTCGAGGAGTATGAGTACGAAATAAAATATAAAAAAGGCAAAAACAATCAAGCAGCGGACGCTTTATCACGATATCCAATAGGTATGAATGCTCTTGAAACTGACTTGATATTTAACTACTTAGGAGAGGCGGATGAAACTATAGGCGACTTTTTATTACATGGTAACGACGAATTGTCAAATCTAGACGACTTAACGTTAAATGAAATTTTGTTTAAACCTGAAGAACAAAAAATTGAAATTTTATCAGACATTCAAATCAAACCCCATTTAACCAACGGGAAAATCTAAAAGATTTAAAAGAAAATGAGACAGTTCATTCCTCAGCGGAAAACCCAATTTTCGAAATTCCAATTTCGGAAAAACCATTAAATCATTTTAAAAATCAAATAATATTAACAAGAGGATATGTAGGAAAATTCTTAATAAGGAAAGAAAACGTGTTTAATAATCGATTTTATATCACCATCCCGAAAAATGACCCCATCATGAAGGAATGCTTTAAACCAAAAACTACTTATGCAATTTACTTTCAAGCGGAAAATTTAATTCGAATTTTCGCTGTAACGTTACAAAACACTTTCAAAAATTCAGCACTTAAAATAGTTCATTGCAATATAGTTCTTGAAGACATCGAAACCCAAGATGACCAACAGGAAAAACTTAGTCTATACCATACGACAAAAACGTGCCATCGTGGAATAAACGAAAGGAGGAAGTAAAGTAAAGTAGAAAATATTATTGGCCAAAAATGTCTGACGATATAGAAAATTATGTTAACAATTGTGACGTATGCCAAAAGAATATGTATGATCGAAAACCACCAGTGATAAAATTTAACTCAACCCCAACAGCATCAAAACCATTCGAACACATTCATATTGATACCTTTAGGATAAACCATGAAGCCTACGTTACAATAATTGACGCATGTTCGCGCTATGTACAAGCGTATCCATTAAAAAGCATAACAGAAACCGAGGTAGTGGAAAACCTTTAGAATTTTACAACGCATCATGGATTACCATTGAAAATAACCTCAGATCAGGGAACAGAATTTAAAAACTAGGACCTCGAAGACTTTTGTAAGTTATACCGAATCGAATAACATTTTACGACACCACAAAATAGTAATTCAAACTCCGGTGTTGAAAGGTTGCACTCAAGTATTATTGAAAGTTATAGATGTCTTAAGGAAGAAAATAAAGAGCTAACTACAGATCAACTCATAAAGAGAGCAGGAATGGGATACACACAGTGACAAAAGTTACACCTTTTGAAGTGATAAATGGTCATTTGAATCTTCAAAACCCATTTGATCTAAATGATAACGCTATCATTTCTTCTTATGTTCAATCGCATAAAGAAACCTCAAGTAAATTGTAGGAACAAATAAAGCAATTAAATGAAAAAAACAAAAGAAGGCATTATTTCAAAAAGAAACGAAAATCGTGAAGAACCACCAGACTTTAGTGATCAAAAATATGCTTTCATTAAAACAAAATTTAGAAGCAAATAACTTCTTAAATTCAAGAAGATAAAAATTTATCAACAATTTCAAAATATTATACACTTTTGTTATCGCTATTTGCACTTCATATAGACTTATATAAATATAATTGCAATTGCTACTTACTGAAGGATATCAGAGGGAGTCGCACCTTCTTCAAAATATCAAAAACATACTGTTTCCTGTTAGAGATGTCATGGTTGATCCATTTGAGGGCTGCCTGAAACATTTCACATTCCGATACAATTTTTAGATATTCAGAACCAAGGAAGCCAATAAACGTATCCTTTTCCAGTTCATAAATCTCTTCTTCTTTGCACACTTCAGGGAAATGTTCCTCGATAAATCTTATAGCAGATACCTTTAATTCCAGTATATTGTGATCTCGGGCAAATCTAAAATGGATGAAATTAATGTTGTCCATTTAAAATGTAATTGACGTACAAATAAATCCCAATCACGTTGGTCTCATGTAGTTGGTCAATTAAAAAATATGTGCACTCTGTAACTATTTCAATTATTTCAAACATGTCTGCAGCAATAACGAGGTCCTCAACTATATTCTTGTTCACCTTTACCTCACCCGAATACATGAAATTAAGCAAAACATCAAAAATATGAGGGTTTATCCCATGCAATTCCACACATTTCTTATTTTTCTCACATAACTCCCCAGTGAACATAGCGTGGAAATACGAGCTACTGGCAGACAATATAGCTTTGTGCGCTCTAAATATTTTAGTTCCAATTTTAATATCAATGTCACAAAACCTATTCTCCCGTCGCAATAGATTTAAATTACTGATTAGTTTTGTGGTGAAATCATAGCAAATATTCTCCCCAGGCTGATCGGAAATAAATTTGCTTTTCTTGATATTTGGGTTTTGGGGTTCATCTTTCAGATACTTGGACAATTTAGATGGCGGCATTTTCGTTTGGTGCGGACACGCCTAACGAGTCTGCGACTTGCAATTTTCACCGGATTTGAGCCGTAAACAGCTATTCAATCAGTAGCTTACATTAAAAGCACTTTTACGCAGTAAGCAAAAACTAAATCCCTCTTGTTTGTTTACATGACAAAAATTTTGACAGCGAAAATGATTTTAAGTCGCGTTCGATTTTCCGTTTACATTGGTAGGGTTCGACGGAATAAAATAAGGTTGCAGTCGTAAGATTTCCCTCGGCCGCAATATTTGCTATTATTTACGTTGTTCTCTATCAGAAATTTACTTTTTATTGCGAATTTTTTTCCATTTAAAGACCAAATACATAAAAACATAAACTAATACAAATAAAGCAAAGCGGATAAGGACGTCATTGATCGTCGTAAAATGGAGCAATATGTCCAAGTAATTATTCTATTCAGCCCGTTCCACCTTCCTTATCTATGCCCAATGGCAAATATGTTTCGTGTTGTTTATGCACATTAGCATGAGCAAAGTCTGTAGCCAAAGATAAGGAAAGAAACTCATATATCGCTGATATTAGCTCACTCAAGGCCACTGACGTACTTAAGTTAGGGTTAAGGTCAGCTGATTAATCCTATGGCAATAATGAAAAACAGAACTAGTTTTTCTTTTACAAGATTCCACATAAAAATTCATAATAGTTTTTTTTAATTGTTTTTGGTATTTTATTCGTGGATAGTAGCTGCCCGAGAGGTAAGACAGTCGTGTCATGGAGTCTCCCAGAGTGCTTTCCATTCAAAGCCACGTAGTTTCCGGGTATGTTGGGAATAAAAGCTCTGTATTTCCCATGCAACTTTTGGGATTTGAAGTCGACATAATCAATTCCGTGCAATTTTCTAATCACACGGGCTATAAATCCGTTAAGGGGCAGGTGTTGACAGAGAAAGAGCTTTCAGATTTAATATTAGGCTTGAGCGAAAATGATATTGACCACTACACACATTTGCTTACTGGCTACATTGGATCTCCTAGTTTTTTAAGAGAAATTATTAACTTATACAAACAGGTGAAGAGCAAAAATCCTGATGTGATATATGTTTGCGATCCTGTTATGGGTGATAATGGCAAACTCTATGTTCCTACTGAATTAATTCCAATTTATAAGAATTCCATTGTACCGCTGGCGGACATCCTCACTCCGAATTTGTTTGAAACTGAGCTGTTAACTGACATGAAAATAAATACTGTCACCGATGTTTGGGCTGCTATTAAGACACTACATGAAAGAGGTTGTAAAACAGTGGTTATATCATCTGCAGAACTAGCATCAGCTGCCAATAAACTCTGTATTTTTGGAAGCAGTGTAAAATCCACTCCTGTTAAACTTACATTGGAGGTTATTAAACTTCCTGCTTTATTTACCGGTTCTGGAGACCTTTTCACAGCCTTGCTGATGTCCTTTTTGCACATAAGTAATGGAAACTTAAAGGATTCTATCGAAAAAACTGTGGCTGCTCTTCAGGCAGTTTTGACCCGCACATTGGACCAGTTTAGGGGCAAAGAATTAAAACCTCAAAATATGGAACTTAAGTTGATACAGAGTCGAGATGATATACTTAATCCAAAGATTGTTTACAGAGCCACTGTAGAGGATTAGTTGATTTTCTAGTTAAGACTTTTAATTATATTAATATATGTTAAATTATATCCATGACTAGAAGAATATTCTTTCCCATGGTGGGACAACTAGCATTATGTGTTGTTAATTTTTTTTTTTTTGCAAAATCATATTAATTATTATTTAGACAATTGTTAGTTGCATTTTTAGCCTATTCCTTAATGACAATAAAAAATGTGTCTTGTAATTTCAATTTCATTTTTAAAGTTTTTTTGTGGATTTTGACCAGTGCCAAATCAAGTACTATTCTTTTATTAATGCTTGTAGTAAATATGTACTTCCCCAGTTCAAGCTATGTATAGTGATAATTATAGTGATTGGAAAATTAAAAATTAATTAATTTCAAAACAAAAAATTTGGTATTGCCAAAAGTTGGTAACTGCAGCAAAAATAAAGTAAGTATTATTAAACCTTCTTTAGCCGCGGAGCTGAGATGTAAGTTTACCATAATATTAATACACGCTTGAAATAACCATTACCTACTTTAGGATATCGAAAAATGATCTAATTAGTGTTAGCGTACACGCAACAAATTAAAAGAAATTATTGATATCTATATTTAAAAACAACTGTGCTTGGTCTAGGTCTAGCTTAAACAATAGCTTAAATTGTTATCATGTCCAATAACCTCTATTTCGTAAACTGAAAATTTTATTTTATTTGTAAGTACACTTTATATTGGAAACCACCTATATAGATAATTAACCAAAGTAAAATAATTTAACCGCATTTTATAAATTAATTTGTTATCTGAGCCGTGTTTACACTTGTATTTTAACCTCTCTATTTGGATAAATGTTGCGGCCGCGTTCGGGTGTTCGTCGCCAGTGCCTCGGGTGATTTGGACAAATGCACCTTATAGACTTATTGCATTTGTGGTTTTGCCGACCGATCGAACGACCGTACCAAAACAAATCGAATTCGCCTTGCGGAATACGATTCATTTAAATGCAGGACCGAGACAGGCCACGGAAAAGGAATGGGATATTGTTATAATTATTCTATAGTATTGCGTTGAGAAATCGAATGGTAGATTTGCTTATTGTGTTTAATTGAATATTGAATGAAGTATCTATTTCCACACATATATTTAATTTAAACAAATTAATGTATTACTGGTAGAGCCAATGCGTAGCACCTATTTTGATAAAATAATTATGCAGCAGAACACAGCTAAATATTATACTAACTAAAACAGCAAACAGAACATATAAAAACAACAATATTTCAAATTCAAAAGAATCTGAATCGGTCGTTCGGACTGTTCGGATTCGGTGACTATTGCCGCTTATGTTGGCAACAAAAAGTATTGAAATGAACGATTAATTGAAATGATTCGGTCCTTTTCGAAATCGGTCACTGATTGATTCGGTCCTCGTAAAATGAACGATTGATACAACACTATAACATAGAAGCATTTGCTGTTTTGGAAGCTACGCTGGATCCGTACAAAGGTCAAGTTGAAACCGTAGCATGGTGTGTTTGATTAAGAAGATATTAAAGTTAAGTCCTGGTCGATAATGGTGGCCAATCCATGGTGGATGTCATCAATCAGTAAATCTGCAATTCTAGTAACGTTCTGTCTCAATTTGGTAAACCATTTTATTCTGTAGCCAACACTTATGTATTTCAACAAGTCACCTTTCAAGGAAAAGACTGGTCGAGTGATCCTAACAATCTTGGCCAATCGGCGTAATTAAAAATACCACCAGTGTGTCTTGTTCGACGCATAGATATTTTGCTTTATAGATTATTTAGATTTAGCAGCAGAATTTTCTAAAAAATGGCTGGTTGTATGCCCTGTTTTATCATACCGTTATTGCTGTTTATTTTCCATAAATTCATTCAACCGATTGTGTTAAGATTTTGGAATCCCTGGCAGAGTAAGCAAGTGCAAGAATCAACAGACTCTAACGGATGTAAATTTAGTTGTGATTGCGCCTGGAACAAGAACAAATCCAAGGAGGAAAGCAACAGTACTGATAACCAAGGAGTAAACATGAATAAAGAGAAAGTGTTATAGAATTAAAAGAAACCCAGGGAACTTGTTGTCCAATTTGATTTTTCTATAAATAAATAAACATATAGCAATGAATCCATTTGATTTAAGTTGTGTTTTTCTTTAAATATAACGAGATTTAATATATTCTAACTATTATGGATTATGGTTATAAGTTATCGGTTTAGTTTCCTGGCTTTTTCAATGGTTTTACAACAGAATAATACTTTTTTTAGTTGTATGGATGTGTTCAAACTAGAGATTTTGCAAGAATATATGTCATAGTAACCTATGTAATGTTTAGTAATAGGACGACCATGTATTTGTGTATATGGATGTATTTTATTATTTTGATTATTTCATTCATTATCATTCAATAGATGAGCTAGCCCATTTTTAAGGCATAAGTCTAATAAAATATATCACTAGTGGAAAAAAAGATTAATGTGACTATGAAAACAAATATGTTTTTAACAAGTACATATTAAAAGGCAGTGTTTATAAGCCCCACTTGCAAATATAGGTGCTCATATCATTGCAATTTGTTGCAACAACATACTGTATTGATTTAAGCAATCTCTTGAAATTAAATTATGTAAAACCTATTTTCTGAAACCATTGCCAATAGAAGAAAAAAATCGATAGAAAAATGTTGTGTCAATTTACTGTTTTTTTTTTAAGACGACCAAGAATAGTAATTATTATTGGCTTAAAATTGTAGAACAAGAGCTTTTTCAACTCAGGGAAATTAATTGAGTACTACTCAAAACTTGGCTTCATCAAAATTCTTCAGAAACCCAATAAATTTATATTCGGATAATGCCAACTATTTCAAATAACAATTTAACTGTTTAAATCCATAGTGGACAATGGCGGAAACAAAATAAAAAATGTGGAAAATATAAATTCGAGAAATTAAAAAGGAAGATACGTTTGTTCTCACAAAAAACACAAAGATGACCTTTATAAATAGTGAAATAGTTTTTGGTAAGTGTAGGGACCTTTAGAATATAAGTACTACCATACTAGCTACTAACGGCCAAGTTAAAACAGCTTGTTTGATCGAAAATAGTTTTTAATTATAATATATATAATATAATGAATAAATCTCTACGAAAACAATGTCAAATTTAAACAAGCCTGGTAATGACTTAAAATTTTGATGTCAAAAATAGATACAAAAATATCGATCCAACCCTCTGTATGAATTTCTAGATCATGATTTATTCTAAATATTTGTTCTATAATTTAAACAGTAAAACAATATTAAGCAATTAAAATGTTTTTTAAATCCCTTTCAGCTATTTTTCATTATACGAATGCCATTCAACCAGATATATCACATCTTTAATATGATGGCTCCGACCGCAGCGTTTCACAACCTTGTGACCTTAGTGTGGATGTAGATCATCGCAAGATGTGACAGATGTTCCGATTGTAGCTCCTGAACTGAATACAATTTACTTCCCCGAGATCGCAAAATGCACAAAAATGAATACATTAGTTCTAAGCGCATCTAAGTAAATAAAGAATGGGACTATAACTATAGACAAAAGCATATATGTTCTAAAAAATGAGTCTAATAAAATTTCAGCAGTGTTTACTTCAAATTTAAAAAAAAAATAACAGTTAACATATAATAAGAAATAATTATATACACCGTGGTTTTTATAGCGCAGAAACATCCCATTAGTGGTCTGTGATAAAAGTGACAAATCGATGTAGAATGTAGAACATCAACGTCACACGTTTAAGCTAAGCTCTAAATTTTATGCTAAAATTTCTAGTCAACATTCTGAAGATTTTAGTGACCTGTTCGTTGAAACGACGTTCAGGTAAATACACAAAAACAAACGATGTTTTTTTAGACGTACCGTCTCGTATAGCCCCCGGCTTTTATAACTAACCCAACTTTTTTGTTAGTTGTTTTTTAGGACAGCAAGTTTCACCCCGAATGAATATTTCCATATTATGTAAAAATGATACGTAACTTTTCACCTCGTTCGCGCGCGAGATCAAATTGCACTTTCTCTTCTCCAAACTTTACGATAGAAATCGCCCATTGTCTATTCTGATCCGCGTGACATGGATACTGGTTGGAATTTTTAAATTTTGAAATGTGTTTTTAATACATTCCATGGCGTGACCTAAAATAAAATTATGCCATATCAATTTTGTGTAGTGTTTAACTGTCATTTACAATTTTGATTAATTATTAACTGATTAGTTTTGGTTAGTATTAACTGCCTTCGTTTCAGGGTTTCTCAATGTAAATATGTATTTTTTGTTTTAGGTAAGATCCATGCTGGGCACCTGAAATTATGTGCCATTGAATGAACAGCCTGCCAAATAGCTAGCAGTCAAACGTGTTGAACAAAAAGTTATTAAAATGAAAGAGTACAACCAAGTCACTTTGCCAAACTACTCCTATATGTTCAATTTTGAATCAGACTTCATCCATCAGAAGACCCGCACCTGGATGCAAGATAACTGGACATTGGGTTTTTATTATGTGGGTGCTTACATGGTGTTCATATTTGGTGGTCAGTATTTAATGCAGAACCGTTCCCGATTTGAACTGAGGGGCACACTGTCTTTGTGGAACACTATTCTTGCAACATTTAGCATAATGGGGGCATGCCGGACTGTGCCTGAATTCCTACACACCCTAACTCACCATGGCTTGTATCATTCTGTGTGTGTGCCATCGTTTATCGAACAAGACAAGGTGTCTGGATTCTGGACTTGGATGTTTGTCCTCAGCAAGCTTCCGGAGCTGGGTGACACCATTTTTGTGGTTCTCCGAAAGCAGCCATTGATATTTCTCCACTGGTACCATCACATCACCGTCCTCCTTTATTCCTGGTTTAGTTATACAGAGTATACAGCTAGTGCTAGATGGTTCATAGTTATGAACTACTGTGTCCATTCTATAATGTACTCTTACTATGCCCTGCGATCCATGGGTTACAGCCCTCCAAGGCAGATAGCCATGGTTATCACCTCTTTGCAACTGCTGCAGATGGTGGTGGGTTGCGCTGTGAATTTGTGGGCGCACCAGTTACTTCAAAACCAGGCCGAGTGCCATATTACGCCTTTCAATATAAAGTTGTCCATCGCTATGTATTTCAGTTATTTTGTATTGTTTGCAAGATTCTTTTACAAGGCCTACATGTCCTCTGACAAGAGGGCTCGCAAAAAAGTAACGACTGAGTATCCCTTGATGAAAACAAAATTACACTAATTTAGTGTAAGTTGCCAAAAACGCCTATTGAAGAAGAAGGCATTTTCCTGTTTAGCCCGACATCGAAGCTTAATCGCACTAGTTGCGCATTGTTAAAATTTTAATATAGCAAGCGGTAGGCGTAAGTACTGCCAAAATTTTCCAGTTTTAAAACCTTGCATTTTGTTAAATAGTTTTAGAAATTTTCATATGCGATTTGTACATAAAAGTTACAAATTTTAGGAAAGTACGTGTTTTCGTCAGTTTTAAGGGTTTCGATCAATTGGTTTTATTTTACCAAGGGGTTGCCTGTTACATTCTTATGTATTTTTAATGCGGCGAATTTGATGGGCTAGCTATTAGTAGTTTAGGTACCCCTTTTTGAATATCCATATAATTTTAGTATCCACAATTGTATATTTTGTTATTTATTAAGTAATCGCAGACGGACATTTTTTTAAAAGATTGTACAGTATTCATATGCTTTGTTTTTAGAGATTAAGTAACGGGAAATTAAGTCCATAGTGAAGGTGACCCCTTTTAGGTTTATCCGTTTTTAAAAAATGCCCATAGGCTTCTTGCAAGTTAAATAAAAATTTGTAGTTGTTCATTTGATTTCCTGTAAGTCTCTTCAAAATTGAATTAGAAATAAGTATTTATTTTGTATATCTGATTTAAAATGTTTGTTTTTTTTTTAATTAATGATAACATTAAAAAACTTATGTCAGCGTTTTTTTTGTTACTGTGGTTACTCAGCATGAGACTACCACTAAGAAAAATAATGCCTGTATTGTATTACTACCCCGAACGCAAATCTGCCGATAGTTTACTTATGCATAATAGAAAATAGCTGGTCTTGGTATAAATAGGCAAAGCATGCTTTTTTTCATCATAATGGTAAAACAATTTTTCTCAGGAAATTATTATTAGGAAAAAATTATTTACTCTTTAATGTAAAATACTGTGTACTGATTAGGTGTGTGCAATCACATTATAACGTTTTCATTAAGCACTGTGGCGAGCCGGTTCGATCATTTCCGGTACTTTAGTCACGGTTGATATTTTGGTATTTTGGCGTTCGTCAGTGATCGTCACCTCACACTTCAGTCGATCAAAAAATCGTGTTGTTTTGCACAAATGTACCTAAAGCTAATGATGCATTCGGATCACATGCGCTTCTTAAACCGGGAAACGTCATAGTCTGAGAGCCAGTGGGCGGCTACCTGCATGTATTTGACCAGACCTGGGTTTTTGTACATTGAGGTCCCTATACCTACTATACATGATGTGGGGACCCATTACGCTCAAAGCGGTGGACCCAGGTACTGCGCAGGTGAGACACGGAAGTTTTTATTCGCCTACTTTGAAGTTGTCAAATGGTCTCAAATCTCTCATTAATCCATTTAAATCTACAATCTCTCAATATTAAAATGAATATAATTGACATGTTCACACAAGAACATGACCCAACCTTTTTTGTGCTTCACAGAATATTGGTTTATGGTAGTCCAAACTGGAGTTTAATGTTTAAACATGGAGGTAGCATAATTTTGATTAATAATGTCGCGCATGAATGTTCGGATATAGAAGAAATTAAACAATTATCCGTGGAACAAGTATTTGAATGTTGCGCAGTCAGTTTTGGTTTGGCAGTTAGCAAATTGTGAATTATATGCTTCTACAGGCCATCCTTAGGGGACTATGATTTACTTTTAAAACAGCTTAAGGAAGTTTTGCAGTTGTGTGTTTGTGAAATAAGAATAGAAGGTTGTTTGACTTGTTTGATTCGTTTTTCTGACGTCCCTGACAAATTCACCCACAAGAATACAGACTGATAGTATTCGGCAGACAAGTTCAACAATAATTGATTAAATTGTCATAAATCTTAAAGCAAATTAATTTGAGATTATTTTATCACTCAGCTTAAAGATTAACCTTTAAATACTATTAACATAACCGACGCTCTAATACAAAACGTATCATGAACAAAGAATTTTTCATGCAGCAGCATTGCTGGATTTTATAGACATTCCTTAAAGGAAACGAACGAAAAATTGGGTAAAAAAACATTATAAACAATATAACAATCAATGCTAATAATATTGTTGTCGTCATTGGCAATAAAATAATAGCAAATGAGTCCGGAATTTTTTTTGCAGCTCGTGTACGATTAAAAGTTGATTCCTTGTTCAGTATAAATGGGACTGCTACTTTTACACTCATCAGAGAGAAAAGTATGTTTTTTCTACTTGAAAAACAAACGATGTTTTGGAATTGATACCTGTTCCACTTATTAAAGAGTGTAGCGATATTCTAGCTCCATATTTACCAACAATAATTAGTAGATGAATAAAGGGACATCCAGGCCCACATAACCTCACTTTTTGGTTTCCCGGTCACGGCCCCCGGGCCCCCGCCCACGGGCTCTCCGCCCACGGGCCACTCGGCCATGGGTCTTCTTATTTTTGGTCACTCGCCGATAGACCAATCGACCATAGGCCAGTCAGCCATGGGTCTTCTTCTTTTTTATGTTCTGGCCGCTCGCCCATTGGTTCAAGGTCACTCGCCCATTGGCCACTCGCCCTAACCTAACCAAACCGTCGTCCGCGGTACCAACCTAACCAAACTGTCGTCCGTGGTTCCAACCTAACCAAACGGTCGTCCGTGGTGCCAACCAAACCGTTGTCAGTGGTGCCAACCAAACCGTTGTCAGTGGTGCCAACCGTGGTCCGTGGTGCCAACCAAACCGTTGTCTTTGTTCGCCCGCGTGCCGGTCGGGGGCCCGCGCGGGGGGGCGTAGCCCCCGCTGGTAGAGTCCCCGCCCCTCCGCCATCTCGGGGGGGGCTGCCGTGAAAACCCGTCCGTCGTTGAACGGTCACTTTAATGCCGAGCTAATTATGTACCGTCGGTTCCGTCCCGTTGCCGCTAGATGTCGCGCGCGCGCTCTCGACAGAAAACCCGTCCGTCGTTGAACGGTCACTTTAATGCCGAGCTAATTATGTACCGTCGGTTCCGTCCCCGTTGCTGCTAGATGTCGCGCGCGCGCGCGCTCTCGACATTATTCCTATCAGCGGTTGCGTCACCGCGAGGCGCCCCGCGTGTCCAAGTTTAATTAAAGAAAACTATATATACAATAACAAATATTTATCGAGGAGGGTCTTCTTCTTCTTCTTCTTTTTGCGTCCAGTTAGTTGACCATCCCGGTGTTCCTGTTGATGACGTTCTTGTTCCCGCAAAAAAAAAATCTTTAAACGAAACCAGAATCTAAATTTTCGATGAGGGAGAGTGCGGCATTACTTCAACCACCTCCCCCCTGTATATATATATAGACACTCCGTAATTTCATTTTGTTAGTATGTTATACTTTGCGTCCGGAAGCGGCCTCGTTAACACGCTGATAAATAAGTTACCTTTCGAACTACACCTTCCCGGTTATCAATTTTGCGGACCGGGGACGAAATTGAAAAAACGGCTTAGTCGCGGCGATAGCGGCGTGAATCCTTTGAAAGCGTCGTGAATCCTTTGAACTCGGCGTGTAGGGAACACGATATTGCTTATTCGCCACAATGAATGTAAATTGCAGCGCGATTGTGTGCGATGGCGTACCGCCGCCGTCGCGTTTGACGACTGGATGACATCATCGCCCGCCGCGTCGCCGGTGTGCGGCAGCGGATGCATGACATCATCGCTTTGCGAAATGTTTAAACGAAACCTTGGCGGCTGAGATCATCGCGTCGCCTGCCTTCGCCGCAAAAAAATGTTTTAAACGAGACTTTCATATTAGTCCGCTGGCGGAATACAGTATATAAAAAGTTTCGATTGTTTGTTATCATTTAAATACCGCTTGAGTTGTGTGTGTGTGTAATCAAGTCGCTTAATTGACCAAACGATCCGTGTTATCTCAGTGTTAGCCGCGCCACCGCACCCTCCCAAACCAACGCCAAAATAAGTACTATTTTTTGTTTTTTGAAAAAGTTGTCAATATTGAACTGAAGGATTCTACTTTCGTTATAGATGGACTTAAAAGCATTAAATGAAAAAATTGTAGCGAATAAAGAGAATCGAAAACCAATAGTTAAGTTGGGGCAGTTAGACGTTGGTCGACCATACAAGATAGACAAGGCCAGAATAGTAAAGACCCAGTTTGGGGAGGCGGTTCTATTGGAGTTAGAATTATCGGTGGTGTTCCTGTCGAACCGGGTGACGGACAGCTTCCGGCCGAATATAGACCAATTTTCGACGGGCCGCTACACTCTGGTGTATCGGGGCGTTAAAGAAGTCGGCAGTTGGCCCGCTCAACAATTTGAAATTGTTCAAAATTAAAAATTACGGGGGGTGGGGGAGAGAGACGGTAAGTCTTATTTTTTCAAATATTATTATTATTATTATTAGATCGCAATGAATTTTACGCGAACTATTGAGGACGCTCAAAATTTAATTTTGGCTTTTCGTCAAGTGAACAAGGAGCGAACGGAGGTTAAACCGCCGCGTGCAATGCTCCACCACAGAATCATCACGGCGTCTTCTACGTCTCTTCTTCGTGTTCGAATGTGGTTGTATCTACCATAGATTCAAATTCGGATGGGCACTACAGAACCGTATTGGATAACGTCGCAACTGTCAATGACGTCACAAATTTCACGTTAGAATTAAAATATGTCATATCGCTAATTTCACGACTTAGGCAATTATGTGATATTATGTATGATATTATTAGGCAATTACATGCGATGAAATATTAAAAAATTATTGTAGTTTTTTGGTAATTTCGTTAAGATGTTTAACATCATTATGCAAAAATATATCGAAAAATATATTTAAAAATAATCTGTACTTATTATTGTTTCTTTTACTTTTTCCTTAATTATAATACTTTAGGAAGGGAAGTAATTTATGTAGTTATGAATATTTTTAATATCACATGTGATATTCACTTAAATTATTTTTTTTTAAATAAACGATATTTTATTCTTTATAGTTTTCTTTTATTTCATTTCTTTTTTTTTTCATATTTGATGAATGATATTCTTCATAACTAAGTTGTCGGTAGTGATTTATTGTCCCCCTAGAAATATATAATAATTTTTAAATTTTCATTGAGAGAAATAAATGGAAAATTTTACATTCAAAAAGAAATATTAGGAAATTAAAATTTCGATTGTTCTAGAAGAAACGACAGTCTGAAATCCAGCACGGTCGACGTTAAGTTAGATATCGAAGCTAAAAACGGATTTCCTGCAAATACGCGCGCCTATTGCGTCATCATTCACGACTGCATCGTGGAACACCGGCCGCTTAGCGAAATTGTCCGAACGTTGTCGTAATAAATACGAGGCAAATTTGATCGAGCGGCGCAGTTCGTGGTACAAAGTTTGTGCAATCAAAACATTTTGTGGTAAACATGCAGGGATTCCAGCTGCAAGACGGCGGCGAGGGCTTCGTCGTCAAGGAGTTGGCGGCATGTAATGGCAGTCAAAGCTGCAATTTCATTTTCAAGCCGCCAAGGGAATATGGGCGGCTGTCCTCCGCCGACAAGCGTGGAATGCCAACCGAAAAAAAAGTGAAACAAGATGTTTCGAAAAATTCCAACGTCTACTATCACGGTACCAAGTACGGTAATAGCTGTAACAAATCTTTTTGCTTTTGTGAAGAATCCATTAAAAATCATCCAAAATATAATATAAAATATTGTTCGGAATTAACAAGTCGTTCGAACAATATAAGTTTATATTGCGACGAAGTTATTCCATCACCGTCATCGTCATCACCACCAGCGGACAAAAAAACAAGGATTTAGAACATACACTGCCTCCGTTATAGAAGAAATACGTTGTGGTGATTGTCCGAACGTTGTCGTAATAAATACGAGGCAAATTTGATCGAGCGGCGCAGTTCGTGGTACAAAGTTTGTGCAGTCAAAACATTTTGTGGTAAAAATGCGGTTCGTGGTGGTCGACATGCTGGGATTCCAGCTGCAAGACGGCGGCGAGGGCTTCGTCGTCAAGGAGTTGGCGGCATGTAATGGCAGTCAAAGCTGCCATTTCATTTTCAAGCCTCCAAAGGAATATGGGCGGCTGTCCTCCGCCGACAAGCGGGGGGTGCAGAGGTTGGAGGATCGCCTCCATAGATTGATATACACCGGGGGATTTGTCGACTATGCGAGGGTGGACGACGTGATAAATCATATTAGCGCACAGGCCGACGTCATTTACGTGAGGGGGCAGGTAAAGGCAGACTTTCTGGCCAAGAGGCTAGAGTCGTCGTCGGCGTGGAAGCCGGTTGATGACGGCGGACGGCGAGACAGCCACGTCGCCACCAGCACCAGCCCCCAGCCCGCCGCAACTGTACCTCCCCCTCCAAAGTTTGAGAAGAAGGCGAGGCCTAACTGCATGTTCCACAAGGGTGGACGGCGACGGATGTGCGTCCTAAATAATATTTCCGAATTACATTCATGGGTATACGCCAGTATACCCATAATTGTATAAAAAAAATTAAAATAATTTTTTTTTCAAAAAAAACGTTGTCGTTTTATTTTGATCTGCGCAACATGTATTATTAAAAAAAACATACACGTAAATATGAATTAAAAAAAAATTATCTCTCACGTCCCTCTATAAAAACGCCAGTTATGATCGGTGAATATTTAGTACTGCAGTTACTTTTGATTGAGAGAGAGATGAGGGTTGTGGGTTTTTGTTCACTTCTTCTTCTTCTCTACGCTATCCTTGCTATGTGCTCGACAACTGAAGACGACACGACGCTAACCGACCAGGAACTCTCTGATTATTTACAAAAATATGGCTTTCTGCCGGTGAATAGCGGGGGCGACGACGATGACGACGTGTCTCTCACTCAGATCGATCCGGTCAGTTTAGAGCAAGCGTTAATGGATTTTCAGGAATTGTACAATCTACCAATGGACGGTACTCTAAACAATGAGACCATAGCGCTAATTAAAAACCCCCGCTGCGGAATAGAAGAAAATGCTTTCACAACCGCCAATGCGGTGTGGAATAAAACGACCTTAAATTGGTATATTCAAGCCTCGGCACCCTGGCAAAGGATTCGATTACGGACGATTGCCAACCAAGTTTTCAAAATTTGGAGTTCCGTTTCCAATTTAGAATTCGCTTACAATTACATGAAGCCCGATATTCTGATTCTAATCACCGATAAATCGTACGAACATAAACAAAGCGTAAGATGTCAAGGCAACGGATCATGTAGTTATAAATTTGACGGAAAAGGTCAAGTTTTGGGTCACGCATTTTTTCCCAATACAAATCAAAAGTGTATGGAAATCCATTTGGATAAAGACGAAAACTGGTATTTTGGGAACGATGTGCCTGCGCCCGCACCACAAACGAGTTTGTATACCGTGCTATTACACGAAATCGGGCATACCCTCGGCTTAGGGCATAGTAATGATTCCGCGTCCATTATGTATCCATTTTATGGGAGCGTAAATACATTGGGACTCGATGACATTGCGGGAATTCACCGTTTGTATGGAGACAAAACGACCATATCAGTGTCGCCATCGACGACAACCACATCGAAAAGCGACACAAAAACAACAACAAAAGTTACTTTGTCACCACCACCACCACCACACTTGTGTAATATACTTCCGGATAATTTTCTAATCACTTTGAACCATCATATGTACGTGTTTTACGATAAATGGTGCTGGATACTACGCCTAGGTGATAGAACCTACACCGAACCAAAACGAATAGCCGAGTACGTTCCCATGGACAAAATTTCCCACATCTATCAAAGACCCAACGGACAACTCGTGGCCATTGCGAACAATTTATTTTATGTGGTGGACTTTCCTAGTTTTAGGATAGAACGTAAAGCGGACATTGAGAACCTGGGCGTTCCGCAAGATAAAAAAATTAACGCAATTTTCAGCACATACTCCGGCAGAACTTTCATCCTTTACGATGATAATTATTTCAACGAATTGGACGAGTGCAGTTTGCGTCCGAAAGGTCACGGCTTTGTAAACGAATTGTTTGGCCCGATTCCGCAAGGCGTGAACAGCGTGTTTCGCTACACCAACGGACATTTATATTTTTTCAAAAACAAAACCTATTACGAGTACAACGAATTTTTAAATAAATTGATCAACGCAGGACCCGTGGATTTCAGTCTATTCGGCATCAATTGTCCACGCGAGAGCGTGTTTCAACAGATTAAAAATTTGTTAATGAAACTGACGACTAGGGGGTGACCACGATGGATAAAATACTGTTGAGCCATCCGACGAACTTGAACAGCGAAGACCTGCTGAAAGTGCTCCCGGCACAATACCTCATAGAACGGGTGAGACCCTACGAATTGTTAAATATGTGGCACAAATTACCGGGAAAACATCAATGTAATTTTGAACTACAAACTCATCTGCCGTGTTTTGTGCATTACAATCGGCCTGACAGCAGAACCCATATCGACGGACCGGCTCCCTCGCAAAATCGGTGTTTTCATTGTTTGAGCGCTATAAAAAGGCGCTGACGACGTGGTGATCAGTGTCATTCGAGAACGCGATGGCTACGCTAAACGCCAAGTTTATTTTGTTGTCCACATTAGTGCAAAATATGTTTTATACTCACTAACCCAGCGGGGTAATTGAAGCATATGTGTGTTTCAAAAACGCCGATAATCGTAATTTTTCCTGTTCATGGCCGGACACCTGGACGCAGATGCATCTGGCGGCGAAGGACGGCAACCTGTTTGAGACTGAACTGCCAATGAGTACGGTGCACCAAAAGTAGCAGCAGCAGCAATGACTCTTTAAACAAAAAACAACTCCAGAAGCCTCCAAGGCAGTGGTGACGACGATGACAAGCACTTTTCCCCGAATCAAAAACAAACTATTTTCATTTGGTTATACCTGATCGCGTCCAGTTCGCTACTTTTGCTATCAAAGTGTTTGGTCAAGATAACTAAAACTCAATGTGCCGTCCAATTTCGACGATAGGATGGGATGAAATGTACTCATACTGTGTATGAGTTATAAAAAACAATGTAAGTTTTGTGTGTGTGTTAGTTGACTGAACAACAACAACAACAACAACGATGGGTGGTGATTGGGATGCAACATTTAATAATCACAGAAGAATTACGCCTACGCGTATTCCGGATACTACAGTAACGATCGATGAACATATGTATGTCGAGATGGATTGCGCCCAAGTATGCCTGTGTGTTAATGGACAGCAGCGACTAGACTTTACCCACGAGGCATTTTTGGAGTTTTTATATTTTATTGACGAGGAAATTGGAAATCTAAAATGGAACGACGTCATCTTCCCCCTAGGAGATTGCATGCAAGCGACTTATTGGCACAATTTTTGGAAAAATATTGAGAAAAGAAATCCCTTGCAACTTTATATACGAAGACGACCTGGTGGGTATACCCTAAAATGTTCAAACCTCGTCCAACTGACTTGTTTTCAATGTGTGGCTTTCGACGATGTAAATCCTTAACACTATTTGGTTATTCCTCGGAAACCAATACTTCAGTGATCCAAAACCGCCGACGAATACGAACTGCTATTAGGTCATTTGCTAATTGTAGCAAGAAAAATAGCTGCAACGAGGAAGTTGGATCAAGGGTTTCGAATTGTTATTAATGATGGGCCTGTGGGCGCTCAGTCTGTTTATCACGTTCACATACACGTTTTGTCCGGGAGGCAGATGCGTTGGCCTCCGGGTTAATAATTTTGTTGAGCTGTTTTACTCAATAAGTGTGTTATTAAAGTAATTTTTTGCTGCTGTATGTACCCCCTTTACAACTTATATAGCTTAAAGTCTAATTTAAAAAAAATACTTCGCTGTTACTAAATTATATATTTGGTTAAACATAAATTAAATATTTGAACACATAATTAATACTATCAAGTGAAAAACAGTGAAGGAGAATAATACTATCAAAAACTGTTTTTCTAGTACAAAAACACCCAAATTTAGGAAGCATTTACCAAAAAAAAAAATCACATTATTTAGTTCAAGTAGATCCAAATCCACCTTCACCTCTGACAGTGTCCCCTAATTCCTAAAATAATGAAAAGCAACTAATGCCAAACTTGGGAAAAATCATTTACTCACCTGTACTTCCTCCAAATCAGGATAGTAAATTTTTCGCATATGAGTTGGGCAATTCTATCCCCACTTTTAATATCGAAATCTGAGTCGGAGTGGTTAAATAAAACTACCTTTAAAACGCCCCTATAATCCTCATCTACGACGCCGGCTAAAAAATGCTCGTTTTACTCGTCGCGTCTTCAGAAACAAATTCTAAGTATATACCTCCAACGTCAATAAAATTCTTCACAGCTAATCCAGATCTGGGTGCGGCATTTCTGTTAGATTACTTTTACAAAATTTATTTAACACCTTCGAAACGACGCGTAAAAATGAGACGTTTCTGACCCAGCTCTTTTTATTGTGGACCAAATGGGTGCCAAATTTACACCAAGGGAGGGGATGGAAAACGCGCCAAACGGACGAAACCGTTACAACGGAATTTCGCATTTTTATATTTCTATTTTACTAGATTTTAATTGAAGTAATACTTGATTACATTCTTGATTTTTATTACCCCTCACAGCTATCACGTACCATCAGTACATAAAACTGAAAAAAAAAATTATATTAACACGCCAACGCGTCACGAAACTTCAATAGCGGCTCCTTCCAATGCGCACGCTCTTCCGAATCGTTATTGGTCCTTTCCATCTCGTGATAAGGCTGTCCTAGGAATCACGTGACAATATTTCAGAACAAAATAACTACGTCTCGTTGGACAAAAATGGCGATTTCGAATTCCGGCAAAAATTGCATCCATATGCGTGGTGGCAGGCCGATTTGGCCCAGCTCGACCGATATGAGAAACAAAATAAAAACTTTAAATTTATATTGGTTGTTATCGATTGTTTTTTTTTTTCAAAATACATGTGGTGCGAACCGTTAAAAAGAAAAACGGGTAGTGATGTGACTACACCCAAAAAACCTGCAAATGGATCTGGGCAAGGAATTTTATAATGGCAATTTTGAGAAGCTCATGGTCAAGCACGAAATTAATCATTATAGTACGTACAGTAAGAAAAAGGCTGCGATAGTCGAACGGGTAATAAGGACACTCAAAGAAAAATTGCATTGCGTACCGCTGGACAGACGTGCTGCCCTCTGTTGTTCAACAATACAACGAGAAACACAGAACGACGGGAATGAAACCTAATGCGGTGAATAAAAGTAACGCCGATTCACTTTTGAAGTGTGCTTTCAGTCACCTGAAAATATTCGGAGCTAGGAAATTGAAAGTGGGTGACGTGGGTTAGAATTAGTAAAGCCAAACACGTGTTTAACAAAGGATACACGCCGAATTGGACCACCAAACTATTGTGGTCAAAGTGCAGATCACGAACCCGGTGACGTATCTTCTCGAAGATATGAACGGTAAACCTATAATGGGAGGATTTTACGAAGAAGAATTGCAAAAAACGGCCAATCCTGACGTCTATCTCGTTGAAAAGGTTCTGCGCAGGCGCGGTAAAAAAGTTTTGGTACGCTGGTTGGGATTGGACAAGTCGCACGATTCGTGGATTGACGACGCGAATGTATTATAAGTCTCAGTGTCGATGTAACAGTCGTTTCGGGCGCGCATCATGGAGCAGCAGCAAATATCGCTCCCCCCCGAAGAGTTGTACGAATTTTTAACGAGCTACGACATACATTATACGCCGCCGCCGCCACCACCACCGTCATCACCGCCGCCGCCGCCGCCACCACCACCACCGGAAGTGCAACAACAACAAGTAAGAAAACCGTCAAAACGGCGTCGTAGTGCGACGACGCCCCCAAAGCCTCACAAAAAAAAAAGAAAAAGCGAAGAAACGGTTCAGCAGCAGCAGCATACCGGCTCATCCTCCTCCTCCTCCTCCGGTTGGTTCGATACGTTTATCGACGACGAAGAAAGAAGGGTGGTATGCGAAGCGTTCCAGTTGAAAATGGTTTTAGAGTCGCAGCTGGTGCGAAACGAGGACCGGATCAAAGAGACTAAAACTAAAATTGCCCTGCTGCAGAGCGAGTTACAAGTGGCGCGCCTTCACTCCGACGAATGCAGAAAAAAACTTAAACATTTTGCAAGTTTAGCGTCCTCTCTGCCCGCATCAATCCCATAGTTTTTTTTTAATTTTAAAAATATTATCGATGTTGATGTAAATAAAAAAAAATTTTAGTGTTTTTTTTATTTAGACACACACACACTCCTCCAAACAACAACAACAACTAGAACAAAACCTGTTGAATCGGAAGTGAAAAAAAATACATATACATTTTACATTAGAATAAAAAAAAAGACCAACATAAGCCTAATTTTTTTACAAATATTTTTTATTATTAAGTCGCAATGAATATGTGTGTTTCTATTACTCTTGAGGTATGTTGAGGATTTGTGATGTCATTAATAGTTGAGAGATTATTCAATGCATTCTTATAACCTTAGAATACATAAAGAATCTATAAGAGATACATCTATGGTAAAACGTCAATTTGCAAACACTAACCATAGAAAATTTTGGAAACATGTTAAATTTCAGCAAAGATATCTTCTATTGTACAAAGAATATTGTTTTTTAAATAGAAACTAATATATTCTATAGTAAATGAAAGGTATGTAATGTTTAAACTTATTGTTTATATTACTGTTTCTAACCTCTATTTGTTTTTCAGTTATAGAAAGATTCCACAATTTACCCTAAAATGGAATTATATAGAATATGAACAAGATAAATTATAAAGTATATATTGATATTACACAACTTTTAAAAGTTTCATTGTCAAGAATCATTATAATTCGTTTAAAATGATTTTTTTCGGATATGGATATTGGTATTGATATTGAAGGGAGGCGCGCTCGTGGGCGTCCAAGCATTTAGGCCACCAGACCGCTCTAGAGAACGTCGAAAATGCCACCCTTTCTATAGAAGGTTAGCAACTTCTTTAGTCTAGTAATACCATGCACTGAATCCCGATCGATCAGGGTCGTTCCGAAGACTCCCAATCTTGCTCATGTTAAAGCAAAGCACTCGGTAAGCAGAAAATACGAGGCTTTCTCCCTTTTTATGCAATCGGATATGGGTAAAGATAATTTATAAATTTTGTCGACTGAAAATTACTGTTTCATTGAAAGAATTGTAGTTACTTTTATATCAAGGAAATATCAGGTGAATGATTAAATCATGTTTAAAAATATTTATCATTTTTAGATTGAATTTTTATGTTTAGTAGAGTTTTACAATTTTAAATTTCATTTATTGGAAAAATTTCGATTATACATTTTTGTTGATGAAAATATTAATTATTCATTGCCATATTAAGATTATTGTTTGACTGAAATTTAATTGTTAGTAATTTATAATAATGAAAGAAAGAAAATTGAACATTGTTTTAATTTATCAATGAATATATAAGGATTACCATTGATTAGTTATTAAAGATACATTTTAAAATGAATTTCATAAAATAATAACTTTGAATATACTTTTGTTTTTCAGGTCTTTTAATTTATTGTTTTTTTATTTTCAGTAAATATGAAACTCCAAAATTAATACACACAAGGAACTATCATCATGAAAAATCGTTACATTTCAACTGAGATGGTTTGAATCAAAGATAAATAAATGTGTCTCATAAAGTTATATTAATTAAAAATTGTTATCTAATGTAATGAAATTTAGTTATTTTTACTTTAAATCACCATCCAAAGTATTAGAAATTATGATAGACCCAACTACAGTCAAATGATGGTAAGAAAACATATATGTCTATAAATTTCAAGATTCTAAAAATATCGTTATGGTCGTATATATAACAGGTATTTAATATAGAATCTTTAAATTTTATGTGATTTTATTTTTTATAACCTCTAATTTATTTTTATTTCATTTGTGATGATTATAGATTTTGAGAATTTGTTGTAGGATTATTTGATGCGGTTTTACAATGCCCTTCCGAGTTGCAAACTATGGTAAACGCGAACACAGTTAAACGTAGAAAATGTCAAAATGGGTACATGTCGACGAATTTTTAAATTAAAGGTATTTAATATAACATTTTTAATTTTTATGCCATATTATTTTTTCATAACCTCTAATTCATAATCGTTTTGTTTCCTATGGTAACAGGATTCAAAAAATTTGCAGAAAGAGAATTGATACAAGAACTAGATGTTTCACTACCCCCTAAAAAAAAAAGCTGACGTCCCAGGTAACAAATTAGACCATTGAAGAACCGCTTAGAAGAGGGTAGTTTAACAGCAAAAATTATCATCAATGAGTTATCAATAAAACGACTTCTGATAACTTCTAGAGAAATTATCATAAGAAATTAAATAAAAACCATCATTGCCAATTTGGAAAGAAAATTATCCAAGTAAAATATTATTCGGATAAATGAATATAAACACAGGTAAAGTTTTATCATGTTCAAATTATAAGTCGTAATTGATATTTGGTATAAAATTAACGTTTCATATAATCTTTTAAAATTATTTACACAATTCAAGTTAGTATTATTGTTTTTGTCAACATTTAAATGAATCATATATATGTGTAAGTATTTCAAATAGACGATTTTCAATTTATTTACTAAAATTGCATGATAAATTTAAATATTTTATTTACTTTTTTGACGGTAAATTTTTTTCATGTTATAATCCTGCAGATAAAAAACAAACCATCATTAACAATTTCCATATAAAGAATGCCTTCAATCAGTTATTGAACATGGACCAACTGATAATTTCATTCAAAAAATTACCATCACTATTTTACAAAGGCTTATATCATCTAAATAAAAAGAAATAATTAAAAAATATATATATTTATATGAATGATTGAAAACATGATAATTAATCTTAATTTTTTTTTAATATTTATATTATTATTCTTAATATGTATTTATGTATTTTTTAAATTATTCAAGTTTTTTAAATTTTAATTTCCTAATATTTCTTTTTGAATGTAAAATTTTCCATTTATTTCTCTCAATGAAAATTTAAAAATTATTATATATTTCTAGGTGGACAATAAATCACTACCGACAACTTAGTTATGAAGAATATCATTCATCAATTATGAAAAAAAAAAGACAATTTTATTAAATAAACAATCATTGAAACTTTGTAAGTATTCGTCGAGTCATCTAAGAAAATACTTCATTTAGACATAAATTTCAATTTAACAAGTAAGTTTTTTATATTCGTTTTATGTAACATATTACGTTTTTCGAGTTTAACACAAGAAATGTAAAACATAAGTCTACACAATCTGTCAAACAAATTCGGTATTGTTTACAGATTCCTCTTTATTTCTTTTAAGAAAATAAAGTGACGACAAGAAATGAAATAAAAGAAAACTATAAAGAATAAAATATCGTTTATTTAAAAAAAATAATTCAAGTGAATATCACATGTGATATTAAAAATATTCATTACTACATAAATTACTTCCCTTCCTAAAGTATTATAATTAAGGAAAAGGAAAAGAAACAATAATAATGCGGATAAGTACAGATTATTTTTAAATATATTTTTCGATATATTTTGGCATAATGATGTTAAACATCTCAACGAAATTATCAAAAAACTACAATAATTTTCTAATATTTCATCGCATGTAATTGCCTAATAATATCATACATAATATCACATAATTGCCTAATTCGTGAAATTAGCAATATGACATATTTTAATTCTAACGTGAAATTGGTGACGTCATTGACAGTTGCGACGTTATCCAATACGGTTCTGCAGTGCCCATCCGAATTTGAATCTATGGTAGATACAACCACATTCGAACACGAAGAAGAAACGTAGAAGACGCCGAGAGATTCTGTGGTGGAGCATTGCATGCGGCGGTTTAACCTTCGTTCGCTCCCGACAGAATCCCTTGTATTCGTCCTCAAAAGTTTGATATCGGTTTCCACTGTGTGGACTTAGTGTTGTTAGTGTTCAGTGCATGTTTTAAAGTTATAATCGTCGTCGGCCCCGTCGTTTTTCCCCGTTCACGCCGGTATGGAGGCCGGATGGTCCGCGGTGGAAGCGGGGGGTGTCGGTTTTTTTTGGTATCGGTCAAATTTGTTTTTTTGCTAGTTGAGCAAATATTGGTTATATGTCTTCTTTGTACGTGTTGGTCAATGACCAAAAGCGAAGATCCTCGACGGAAGTCGGCAATGGGCGAATGATCCTAGCAGTCGAGCCCAACATTTTTTTGTGAAACGCATAATTGAATTTGATCTGTGAAACGCATTATTGATTTGAAAAAAATAGTACTTTGGCGTTGGTTTGGGAGGGTGAGGTGGCGCGGCTAACACTGAGATAACACTGATCGTTTGGTCAATTAAGCGACTTGATCACACACACAACTCAAGCGGTATTTAAATGATGACAAACAATCGAAACCTTTTATATACTGTATTCCGATAGCGGAAAGTCTCGTTTAAAACATTTTTTTGCGGCGAAGGCAGGCGACGCGATGATCTCACCCGCCAAGGTTTCGTTTAAACATTTCGCAAAGCGATGATGTCATGCATCCGCTGCCGCACACCGGCGACGCGGCGGGCGATGATGTCAACCAGTCGTCAAACGCGACGGTAGCAGTACGCTATCGCACACAATCGCGCTGCAATTTACATTCATACCGCGACCAACGGTCGACATTCGAAGCGAAGCGGCCCCCCATTTCAACGACGGACGGGTTTTCACGGCAGCCCTCCCGAGATGGCGGGGACTCTACCAGCGGGGGCTACGCCCCCCCGCGCGGGTGGGGCCCTCGAACGACACGCGGGCGGACAAAGACAACGGTTTGGTTGGCACCACGGACGACGGTTTGGTTGGCACCACGGACAACGGTTTGGTTAGGTTGGTACCACGGACGACGGTTTGGGAGGTCAAGGGGAGTGGTCAATGGGCGAGTGGCCTTGAACCAATGGGGTGAGTGATCAATGGGCGAGTGGCCAGAGCACAAGAAGAAGACCCATGACCGAGTGGCCTATGGGCCAAGACGCTAAGAAGAAGAGCCAAAGCCTATGACCGAGTGGCCCGTGGCCGGGAAGCCAAAAAGTGAGGTTATGTGGGCCTGGATGTCCCTTTATTCATCTACTATAATTAATTCGTCTGCTTTATTTGGTCCATTCTCCTCCCCAATAGCAAGTTATTTTTCTAAAGTGCTAGCAAAAGCCATGTACAAACGAAAGATACAATTCTTAGAGCTAGAAGACATAATCTCAAATGTGCATCATGGTTTTCGTCCTGGGTGATCCAGGGAAACAAACAAATGAACTTGTCCGACATATTTATGACAAGCTCAACATCAGAGGGACCGTAGTTGGAGTGTTTTTCGATTTGTCTCGTGCATTTGAATCCTTAAACTTGGACATAAACGCAAAGAAGCTAGAATGCTTAGCCATAAGAGGGCCTCTCAAGGAATGAATCTTGTCATATATGATTCTTTAAAAGTCGTGTCTTCATGACTGTGGATGACACGTCCGGTTTCGTCTTTGGAAGGGATGCAAAAGATTTTATGGATGGTGTCTCTCTTGTCGTTGTGTAATGTGTGTGTGTGTGTTTTTTTTTGGCAGGTTTTTTAACAGAAGGAATAATGATTTTTATTATGAATATAAAATTTTTGTTGTCATTTGTATTTCCTTCCAGTTTTACTGTTACAATTACTTACTGCTTACTACTTATTGCGCTAATAACGAAATATTGAGCTTATTTATTTCAAAGACAAGTTTGTTTACAAAAAACGCCAGAGCCTGGTACCCACATGAAATGTGTTTACTTTAATTTGCTTTAATTGCAATAATTGGGCTTTTTGCTTATAACCAGTGAAAATAGTTATACCAGAGTTAAAAATATGGGGTATTCTACTTTTTATAAAACTTTTTGTTAAGTTGAACTAGCTAACGTTTGTGTGTGAAGTCAACAGCATGATTTTTTAGCTGTACGGGTTGCGAAAAAATTATTATTTTATATCTGGTTGTTTGTTGCTTAAAAAGTATTTTTTTATCTTCGAAAAAGTTCAAGAATCTAAAAATGTAATAACATACAGGGTGTCTCATTAAAAAAACGAAAGTTGATATACTTTACGAGTATATCTGCCAACACTGCATGTCCAAAAATATTTTACATAGGTAGCTTATATTCGCCCACCAACGAACATTTCAGATTTTTACCGGAAGTCGTTTACCATAAACGTCTAATAGGACACTCACTGTATAAGCAGGCACAAAGTAGAATGCGAGCCAGTTTCAGTTAAACTCTGAAGGAGGAATACAGTAATTTTGTGTAAATAGTATTACAGTAGCCTGTGGAAGTTTCTTTGAAAAATTTGTCAAAGTTGTAGATCTCAGAAAAACTTAAAAAAGGTGGAAATAATAGTCAATTTAGGAAACACCCTATATTTAATATATATATTTATAACACATTCACACAAACACGAAATTATTTTATGTACTTAGTAGAGCACAGCCATTATGATAAGTCGGTCGAGTACACCAAATGACGAAATATCAAACAGCTGTGTAGATTTTTGAGTCTTAGCAAAAGGCGGAACGCCTAAAATTTGGCCGGTTTGTACAAAACTGAAATTTCAACTGTACACAGAGTATAATCCAATAGGCCATAGAAATCTGGAAAGCAATCGGGTCATTACCGACGAACAAAAGACTGACACACCTAAAATTATATTTTGGTCAGTTTTTGTCTGGCCGCCAATTTAGAAGATATCGATATCGAAACCACACTTTACATGCTTTTCAAGCAGCCGTGTACATCTAGACACAATTCCGACATTCTTAACCGCTAACTTATGAAGAACTGAAGCGACGAACAAAAAAATATGAAAATAAAAAACGTAATTACAAGTAAAATAAAAGTAATAATAATAATTAAAAGCTCGATCTAAAATTTATTATTACTAATCCTAGAGCTAGGGTCTAAATTCTATGATAATGAGTTATAATACAGCTGTATATTTTAAAAAAATCTACCCCCTCCCGAAACTCATCATCATCGCTAAATGGTTAAATATAAAACATTTATAAAAGGGAGTATTAAAAACTTGTTTTGTTTTGCGCACATTGGACGATTGTATGTATATGTATAATCTAAATTCTCCTCTAAATTTCTAAATTTTAATATGGCAGTTTCCATGATTTTTTGTTTATTCATTTTTGGTCGAAAATCAGTATTCGATATTGCCGACCGAAAGTGGTCATTCGTTTATCAAAAGCAAAATCCATACAAAAATGTGCGTGGCGCCTGGCTAATCATTATTATTCTTCGACTGCGACTGCATCCTGTAACAAAACAAAATATTTAGAACACTCCGAACAATTCCTTATTAGAGAAAATTGTATATTTTTCCATACACAAGTTGGAGGCCTTTTGCGGTTTAGGATTCGTTATCAGAAAAAACAACATCGCAATATATTTATATAGTCTTTTTTTTGCGAAACACCCTGTATATAGGTCACGCAACTTTTATATATCTAAGGAATTATTAGACTTAAATTTATGAAATTTGGTATACGGGGGTTTGTAATTTTCCAAGGAAGACATAGGCGCCGTTTCCACATTAACGGTGTTAAACAACTTATGGACAAAACGAAAAAAGAGTATGTGGAAAAAAATCAACGAAGCTGGGACAAACTCAAAAAAAAATGTAGGGCGTTTTAAACGGTTTGTGTATGAAAACATAAAAAAGACAAAAATAAGAGAAATAAAAAGCACGACAGGACTAAGTACTAAAGATGAAAAAAAATGTCAGAAGAGTTCAACACATACTACTCAGAACTCAGAAAAACTTGACTTCAAAAATTGGAGAAGAAGACTGTAAGGCTTAATAGAAATTCAGAACACCCCAAAGGATCTTAAGAACAACAGCAACAGGTGTAATTGGATAAAAAAAAATGTGAACATTATTAACAATATCCAAAAGACAGCAAAAATAACAGCGGTATATAAAAAGGACTCATCAAATAACCTTAACAATTATATGTCAATTTCTGTCCTGTGTTGCACGAAAACTTCTGCAAACATACCCCAAAGATCGCAAACACTACACACAAATAAACAAATCAAAAAGTAAAAAAAAAGGTATTACCCAAGGGTCGGCCCTTGGACCTCTCCAGTATTTGTATACAAAACCCTCAATACTTGGGACTAACAGCAAGATATTTCGTTTTCGCTGGCGATGCAGTACTAGTTTTGTCAGCTACAAATAAAGAACTGCAAAAATGTGCAAATGAGGACTTAAATATTATTATTATATATGGTTGTGTTACAATAAGTTATTTATAAATAGAAATCAGACTGTACATATTATGATCATCAAACAAAAAAATAAACAAAACTGTGATATAAACTTGTTCCTGAACAATATTAACCTAAAACAAGTACAAAATTATAAATACTTAGGACTAATCTTAACAAATAAACTTGAGTGGGACATACATGTGAACCAAAGCATAAAAAAGTGCTCCTATCGCTGCTGTAATAAAACGGGGTACAAATAATTAAAAAAAATTCTAGAATTTTACTTTATAATAGTCTCATTACACCACATATAAGGTAAATGCTAAAGTGCTAATTTCACCTATCTACAAAATAAATTACAGAGAACTCAAAACAAAGCAGTAAAAACTATTTTTAAAATAAACCGTCCCACTTCAATAGAAATAGTGTATGAAGCAACAAAAATATGGGACATAAATAGTTACTTTTGAACAAACAAAATATATATATTCAATAAAAAATAAACTGTTAAAAAGTAACTTCGATATAAGGCAAGTGAAACAACTACATAGCTTAATACACATAGTGCAAGTGACTTTAGAATTAATTTTTCAAAAACTCTTTAAGTACAACGATCTCCATTATATTCAGACTTATGACCATATACCAAAAGTAATTGTTCACACAAAAATAATAAAACTATTTTGTCAGAAATTAAAAGTATTTTTGCCGTGACCGTTAAGATTTTTTACTTAAACTTAATAAGACTAAAACACCAAAATACCAAGCTTATTCTATAATTATTTTATTTTGCTTGTAATTTAAGGTAGCAGTGATTTACACTGTTTTGGAGTCAGTTATAAATAAATAAAAATAAAAAAAAATATTTTAACCGATAACAATAAAAACTATTTAAACACAAAGAAAAAATGTACTTATATTAATAAATGCCTGTATTCTTCTACTACTTGGCATTGTCCTAAGCGGTCTGTAAATTCCCATAGAAGAGAATTCGGTGTTATAGTAGTCATTTGCTCTTCTAACACTTCCATTATGAGGTGAGCCCAAAGACCAAAATTTAGGGGGTTTAAATCTGGTGAACGAAGGTTCGATCCACCGACTTGGAAACATTTGATTCAGGTACTTTCTTACATTTTGTGTATAATGTGCAGGTGCTCCATAATATTGAAACCATATGCGATAGTCAATCATCCCTATTTCGCCATTTCTGATGTTCGGATATAGCAAAGCAGCAAAGTTAATTGGGGAGTAACTTGCGTCCTTAAAAGGGCACAATATTTTTTACCGGTGAGAATGTCATTGATAAAGAAAGGCATTATAACATTTCCACCAATTATTCCAACCCACACATTGAGCATATCAGCTACGATGTTCAATCATTCAATGGGGATTTTCATTGGACCAATATCGACGCAATCGTGTCAATAAATAAAACCATTCATGAAAAGCCTCATCCGAAAAAAGATAACTTGAGAAATTTGAATAATGACTGACTGGAATTGTTATCAAGGCTAATTGTGTTGTCGAAGTTTGTGAATTATCTATAGATGATAAGAAAAAACATTTATAACCTCTTTATTGTTCGTTTTAATTTTTGGCCACCATGGGTGGTCCTTTACAAACTCAGTGTTTGTAAATTTTGAAACTAATCTGGCCACAGTTGACTTCGTAAGTTGACGTCTATTGACTAACCAAAAAATAACAAATGTTTCTCACATCATGGCGAACATGGGCTACCATTTTTTGAATGTTAAATGCAGACGATTGCTCATCAAGTTTACCAATTCGTTAAAAAGCATTAATTATGTTGTTCGTAAATTAAATTCTAGTTTATTAAATAAATTATTAATTATTTTGGATTTTTGTTATTCCTGCAAAAACGGTTGAATTTGGGTATAGGGTATCATACAAGAAAAATACTTAGAATTTTATGAAGAATTAAAAAAATGGAATAAAAATATTTAAAATAAGAGTTTGGTAGTTTAGGGAAAATCCATAAATGTGCTCAATTAGAAATAATAATTCTTGAAATATATAGCTGTTTTTGAGATATTGAGTCTAAATAAAAAATAATGAAAATAAAAATGGTTCCATTACCACCAATCCATTTAAATAGTTCCTTACAGGCAAAAATGGTGTGGTGAGGCCAGATAAGTTCTCGGTATTGCTGGAGTGGTAAGTATATTGCATTATTATTATTTTTAGATAGACATATAGAACTCAATTTTCATAAAAAAGAGGACAACATTTATTCACTATAATTTATATAAAAAGAGAGCAGCGCAGCAGAGAACCGCACATACATATAATTTGGTTAATTAGCGTCCCTTCACACAGAATAAAAATTAATTAATGTAAAAAATAATATACAGGGTGTTCAATTAAAAAAATATATGCTTGCTTCAAAACTAAAAAACGGTTAGAGCAAATAAAAAACAAACTACGCTAACGCTACTGGAATCTACGAAAAAATCCTATAAGTAAGTTTTTTAAACTCTTCAATAGCTCATAAGACAACGGAGATATGGGGGTGGTCCCGTAAATACTAAGACGGCAATGATAATTTTGTTGACAGCATCTTTCACAAAAAAAGTAGTGCAGTGTCGCGTAATTCTATCTTTATCTCATTATCTTTAAAAATTACTGAGATACTCCGCAAAAGCATCCAAAATAGGATGCGTTTTTAAACATGTATGGGGAATCTGCACCTCTTTGTTTACATGTGAAGCTCAGCTACTTATCGGAAATAACTCCTAAGATTTTTGCCTCGTCGACAATAGGAATATTCTTATCTTAGATTTGTATGTCGTTTGAACATCGAAAGTACTGAAAGCTTGGCCAACAATAAGTCGTAATTTATGGTGTTAGGCTTTGCTAAAATTATTGAACGAGCTAGTGCTATTTTTAAATAAATACGAAAGTTATAGACGAGACTAAAAGAAACAATTTAAAATTATTTTCAAATATGCAGGATGCTTTTTCAATTTTTTTTATTAAGCACCCTATACCTAAAATGTTTTGAGCTCTACACTTTTTGACAAAACAATTTGACAGTTTTCAAATCCTGTCAAAATATTAGAAAAGGCTGTGTTCAAAATAAATATCTGAACGTGAAAGGGCTACAGAGAATTAGTATAGTTCCTTCAGATAATAGCATTCGTTACATCTTAGAATCCGTAATGTTAATATTGCTTATAGTTCCGGAAAAAAACACTTCAAAACTTAGAACAAAACTGCAAAATAAAAAAAAAACTGTTTAATTAAGTTTCATGACCAACCCTTTGAAATGCTTTTCTTATCCTGTTTCATATCTTCTTTTGTTGTGGGGGCAGTTTTATACATCTGGTCTTTAATATATCCCCACAAAAAATAGTCCATCTTTGTAACCTCTGCTCTAAAGTCTAAGTCATCTTGAACGCCATTCACTGTATTCTCAAAAAAATTAATAAAATTATTATTTCCTATTACACGACCCCAAGCATTTAAAGACCATTTTTCCGGACTGTTTTTATGAAATGTCGATTAATTCGATTGATATTCTCATGTTGCTCAAAAATTCTTTCTTGTGCCCATTCACAAATTGTTGATCTAATTTAATAGTCATATTTATTGGGTGCTTGATGAATTATGTTGAAAGCACCTTATTTTTTTACATTTTTCGTAAACTAAGTAATACTTGAAATTCATTTTCTTCTGTCACCACAGTCTTGACTCATTCGTTCCTTTCACAAGCAACTCTTCGAGTTCAAGTAAAACGATTCATCAAATTCTCGAGAGTTCTTTTAGAGGACAGTGATCTATCGGGAAACTGTTGCTTATAAATTCCCGTAGTTAATAATTCTTCTCGCTAGATCCCAGTACAAAAATCATATCGGAAAATTCGTGGTTGAGTTGCAAGTTAAGCAACTAACAACAAATTAATTGGAAAAACTAATACAAAATTGGCAGGTTTCAAATAATTATTTATTTGCATCGTCAACTTACATTTGCAAGACAAACAGTATCTGAAAACATTATTTATAGTTCAGTAATATTTTGGGCTTTTTATTTTACTTGGCTTATTGCGAATGCTTCATAAAATTACAGGGGCATGAATACGTGTAATTAATGGAAGTAAAATATACATGGTGCGTCAAAAATTAATATTTTTCATTTAGACTCATCGATCTGAACTAACTTCAAGACAAATATAGGATAAATGACAGTAATTTTTTATAAAATTGTAAGCATAACAAAGTTACAGCTGTCGGAAATGGCGTCAAAAATATTGCGTATTAGCACAGAGCTTTTTTAACGGAAAAATGACCGTAAATCCGAAAACATTCGGTATAGACAGGCACATGAATAGTGAGAAGCAACAACGAAATTCATCTGATGCGGTTATTAATATAATGAGTCATTTTTATTCGATGTTAATATTTTTTAACTTAGTGACCCAATATTTTACAAACGACTTGTATATTGTAATTTTGGAGAAGTGGACCTATATGCAGGGTGTTTCATTTAAAAATATTGACATTATTTAAAAATATTACATGTTCAATGTACATTTTTTTTGTGATAACGAATTCTAACAATATAAAGTAAAACATATACCTTTTGCCTTTGAATTTTTTTAATAACTCATCAAATAACTGCTCTAAGTGGGGTATCAATACAGGAGCAGTGGCCATGTACATGTGTACCATTGGTTATGAATTATTCTTTTCATGCAACTACATGCTTATTAATTCTATATTTGGATAAAACTTGCCTTGGTAATTTCGCTAGGTTTATCCCCGGACTCTGGGCTAATCTCGGATTCCTTTACCGTTTCTGACACAATCTGAAATAGTAATTTTTAAATTAAATCAGCGCTCAAGAAATGTTCAGTTAAAAGTAAAGCAAAAACAACATTATTTTTGGGTAGGTATAACTAATGTAACATTATCGGGTCAGTAAAAAGTACCGCAACTCTTGATGATCTATCTCCAAAACTGCCAAAGCTGGAATGATAAAATTCAATGCCTTAAACACGCAGAATTAAAAAATGAAAACAGTAATGTTGTCAGGTTTTGGTATGATATTTGGGTGATTCCGTTCTAATTGTTACTTTTTTACTTAAAATTTCTAAGTTTTTAAAACAAGATGTTCAATAAAACTCAAGGTAGATGGCGCTCGATTCATATCAATTCAAATTCCAAAAATTTAAAGACAAAAAGTGATTTAAGCGGAATTCAGTGATAACAACTTAAAACATTAACCAAAAAAAGTGTTATTTTGTGAGTTTGATAATACAAATAAGAAGTTTTGAGGTAATTAGTTTCATCGCCATCATTTATTGCGACCAAAAAGTTAAGAATTTATAGATGAAATATGTTCGTGTTTATCTAATTAATAAAACAATTTCATTATTATATTATTAATTCACCACCAGTGACAACAAACAATACAAGACATAAAAAAGCACAGTTAAAACAGAATCACTCATTTATAGTTCTGGTAACCTTTTACTGATATACTTGTAAAGGCAACTTACTATGTTCAAAAACCTCCCAAATTCTAAGACATGTAAGGTAAAAGGTTCAAAAACCCCCAGTTATTAAATTTTATAGACCCAGTTTTGGAGATATTTAAAAGTTCCGGTAATTAACCTGGTACAATTTCAAATATATCCCCAATATGTATAGTATTTGTAAATAATTGACAAAAATTATTTTAAGAATGATTAGAATAATTATTTTTTCACTAAAATATCTTTTATTTGGATTCAATTTCCAAAAATCTGTGACATCTTTATTGTTCTATTCACTTATATTTTATTTATGCGGCAAAGCTTACCTCTGTATGGATGTCAATTCCCTGTTTAACACGCTCGAAAAGATTTATCAAGAAAAATTTCTGAAGTGGAGTTTAGAATGGGATAGGTATAGTATACATAGTATTTTTATAACAAAGTGATGTTCTGTATATTTTTGCATTTTCTCAGAGGACCAGAAACCCTCAAATTAGTGATGGATTATCAATTTTTTTTACTGAAAAAGACCTTTCCATACGTCAAAATGACGGTTTGTTTCGGTTTGTTTTTTTTATGGAATAGTGGGTCATGTGACACTTTATTTTCAAGACGTTTCAACATTCATTTTGAACACATTAGTTTAATTTACTATTATTATTATTAATTTATTTTTGTGGTTATTTTTTAAATTCTGCAACGTGACTTTGTTGTAAGTTAGTTATATAAAAAATCACTCAAATGTCTGTTGATGGCGATCAGGGTCTATTATAAAAAATCAAATTTTGTGACACTAAGAGTGATGTTAAATGCACCGCGTGAGACATCATTTAAAAGCATTTTTTTTTATTTATGAAAATATTGAATATGGCGCTCATAAGAAAATTAAAAAATCTATGGTGCATCTCGAAAACAAATGAACAAAATCTGTTTCCCTTTATGTCATCATATTCTTTTTAAAAAAAGTGTTCGCATAACGTACCAATTCCAAGATCTTAGTTAGCATATTTGTCAAAATAGAAAATGCAACTGTTGAAACGATTAATGCCGCAAAAAATTTGCGTTCAGAGTTCTTCTACAATTCTTTAAAGCTTTCCTAATTTAACCGACCCTGTATCTGCTATGGTTTCCGATATCCACATATATATATATATATATATATATATATATATATATATATATATATATATATATATATATATATATATATATATATATTATATATATATATATATATATACTTTTTTTAAAGCTAGAAACGGCTCTTTTAGCATTCCAAAACCATAAGAACATTATGCCAAAACATTTTGATTTTGATTTTTAATTAATTATACTTAATACATTAGATAAAATAAAATGGTAAACGATTTACATGCTATACCGGGTGGCACATAATTAAGAAGTATCTGATCAACGCATTTACTTTAAATTGTACAGAGGAGCTGCTCTATCGCTCTGAAATATTTTCAAGTATGCATTGTGCCGCCTCTATAACAACACGGGAATGTATTGCTTAGTTTAAATGGTAGATTCCACTCAAGAAATAAAGTATATTTTGTTCAGGTCTTCCAGTCATGGAAATAAAAAATAATTCTCTAGATATTTAAGCAATTTGGGTCCTTGGAAAATATTAATAGTTCCGTGCTTTAATTAAACAGAGAGCTGAAGTTTTTCAGACAGCTCCTGAAATAAATAATTAAACATACAATGCCTTTATTTAACTCTTAGTAAACATAATAACTGCAAAACAATACATAGGGGGTTGGTTTGGGGTGTTTAAAGTGCGTGTGCTTCTGTATTTGTGTATTTCTGATAATATATATTCAATGTGAACTATGGAGGTAGCATTTAATTAATGTGAGATTTTTTAAATATTCATACGAAAAAAATTAAAACCAAAAGGTAGACCATTGCCATTGAAGCAGCTGGTGTACGTAGAGGAAAAAGTTATACAGGGAAATTTAGTAAAGAAATTTACTCAAAACAAAACAAAATTTACAATAACAAGTTATATATTGTTTTCCCTGCTTACTTTTTGAGAGCATTTAAGTTTGAAAATAAAAAGACATGAAAATTCTTAAAGCCACATTGATAATTGTAAGGAATTTACGTTATTAGGGTCGATCAATACGAGATTCTGCTTATTGGGTAAATATACAGAAACAATGAAAATGTGTCAAATATTTAATCAGCTTTTGAATTGGCTCTTCGATGAGAATTATAAATTAGATACAACTTTAAATAATCACCTAAAAAAATCTTTTATATTTAAGGGCACTTCCAAAGAAATTCAGAATGATCTGTTATAGAGCATGCTTGGAGTCTGTGATGAACAAATAATTGGTGAATTTAATAATTCTCCGTTTTTGGTTAAGATGTTAGATAGCACATACGAAAGAAACACGGAAGAACAAAATCCAGTTAAGTGAGAACAAAAAGTAACTTTTTAGACCAATGCAATGCACAGTTCATAGCTAGGTAACAAAAACTTGACTATTTGTACTCTAGCTCTAATCTGACAAGTATTTACGAAGAACCGTTTTAAACCAGGATAAATTACAGTATTGCAAGTAAATGAACAATGGAAAAGTGCAGTTTGATCGCTAGGAATAATATACTTGCCGTCATGCCTAGTATTTTCTGTGTGAAAATTGAAGCCTTTACACAATTTTGAAAACAAATATTGAGGGAGAGAAGACTTATTAATTTTATATGTTTCGAATGCCACAACTAAAATTTAAACAAAAATTTTGAACTTCCTGAAAACTCGCTTTGTCTCTATTGTGAAGGGCAGACCAATACGCCACATCACATAACCCAGAAATGAGAAAAGGAGTGAAACGCACACTTTTAATTTAACATCATTACTGCGGCAGTCTATGTGTATACATAGCAACTTCAATTGAAAATAAAATTTTTGTAATAGCACTGCCACATGGGTCGGAATCTTAAGCCGGATCAGGCAATGTTTCCATTTTAGATGAAACAGACAGGGTGTTTCAAACATCAGATTGTGTACGGAAGTTATAGAAACATGGTGCATTGAGTTCTCTTAAATAGCAAAGCAGTTTCATTCAATTTTAGTTGGCAAGACTATGTTTTCCTGGCAGAAGATTCATTTTCCTGTCAAGTGCTGAAGGCCTTTTTGCGAACAGGTCAGAAAAGGCACACTCCATTAGAATGAATTAGGTTCCTATAATTAAAGCGGATACAGAAAAAGGACAAAATGGTGGCTCGGATACGTGGGATACGAAACTGACGTGGTAAAGTGACGCTTTCCGCATGCTAGATCAGTGTGTACTTAGGTGTTTTACAGACGGGAGTAGAAAAAAAAGTTTGCCGAACGTGTTGCATACTATTTTTTCTATGACTGTTAGTTTTGGAGAAGATTTTTAGAAAACAACACGAATACATTCACTGACATAACCGTCAGAATTGGCCAACGTCAAAATTAAGGCTGAGGAGTAATATCTCGGAAACGTCCGAAGTGACTCGGATCCGTGAGAAACGAAACTGACGTGGTAAAATGTGTATAATTAGGTATCTTATAGAAGGGAGTAGTAAATAGTATAATATGCAACAATTGTGGTAAACGGTATTTGAGTCACGAGTTTACCTGGCACGAGCGGAGCGAGTGTTTAGTAAACGAGTGAGTTAAAAAGTTTACCAAACGTGTTGCATACTGTATTTTTTTACGACCGTTAGTTTTTGGATACATTTTCGCAAAACAACAGAAATAAATTCACTGACATGACCGTCCGAATTGACAAACGTCAAGATTCAAGCCGTGCGGTAAAAACATCCAATTGCTCCCAAACTCGTGCTGTAATTTCCCGCAAATGTCCGAAGTGGCTCGGATTTGTGTAAAACGAAACTGACCTGGTAAAATGACGCTTCCCATACGCTAGATCGGTATTCATTCCTAATTATCGAGATTGTCATAAAATAGTAGATTATGCAACAACAGTGAACGGCATTTGAGTCACGAGTGTTAGCCAAAACACATGCGTGGCTAAATGGGTATACGCAGCAAATTGTCCCAAGAAAAGATTTTTTAGTAGAATGGTATTTAGTGGTTTAAGTAAATGTTTGAGCGAAACAGGACGAGATCATCCTAATCCAGTGAGCAGAAGACATCGACGAGTTAATCTCTTTGCTTATGTCCACATTATTCTTTATTTAAGCTTAAGAATAATAAATTTGGACTTGGAGTTTAGTAAAACATGGGTACGCAGAAAATTCAAACAAGTCGATAGAGTGTGAACGTCTGGTGTGGAACTTCGGATGATCGAATTATATATAAATTTATTATAAAAAAAAGCTTCTTTACAAAGGAGAAGCTGCAACACGACTGACTGATGTCCAGCATACTTTTCCTAAGAAGTTCGGAATTTTTTAGACAAGACTTATCGAAACCGTTGGATAGGAAGGGACAGGTTTGTTTTCGTGGCCTGGCAGATCGCCAGACCTTACTATCCTATGGGGTAGAATTTCTTGTTCTGCTGTCGTTACCAATGTTTACTTTTTATGTTTGGGTGGTTATTAATTTATAAGCTTTGCATTAGATTAGGATACAGATATTGTTCAATCTGGTGCAGCCTCGTGTATACAGTGCCCTCCTGAATGATGGGACCCCCGTTTTATTTTTTGCACCTTTGTATATAGCATGGTGAAATTTGGCATACACCTACATAATTAAAATGTCTCGTTTTTGACATAAAAACAATATGTCGAATTGACAGCAGGGCGCTACTTACAAGTATTTTTTTAATGGTGAGAGGGGGTCGTGTGATACCTTGTTTTAAAGGTCTTTTCACGTTCTGTTAATATAATAATAATAATAAATATGCAGTAAGGAAGAGGCGAAGTCTAGCAACAGCTACTCCACTTAACCTCTTACTTGCTTAAATTAAAAACTAAATAGGAACTTATAATTACATTGATAAATTAAATATAGCACAACAGATAAATGTAATAGGAATATGGAACAATAGAAAGTTATTAAAAGTAAAAATAAAAAGAATAACATTGAAAATCAAATTATTTGAGAAATTTGCAATTTCAACCTGAAATATTTTTTAAAGAATTTAATAGAATGTGATTTTACTGAATCGGGGATACTATTAAAAATTACTACAACGTTATAAGAAAGTGATCTGCGGAACAAAGACGAGATCGTGGCAGTGTGTGAGTGATTGACTGATTGAACATTACGAAAATGTAATTTAGCTCGCAAGTAGGACGGATTACATGTGTTAACAATTTGGAGAACGATAGACGCCAAAAGGTACTTGAAAGTACTGTTAATTTTTAGACAGTTAAGTTCCTGGATTTTGTGGGAAATCCTATCAAATTTACGCAAGCCGAAAATAAATCTGCAACAGCTGTTTTGAATTTTTTGGAATCTATATTTATTAATATTCTCAAGACATGGGTAATAGAGGACTAAACTATAGGTCACAATAGAAAGGACAAGTGATTGAGCTAAAAGTTTCCGTAAACTGAAATTAAGGACAGTTTTATGCCTGTATAAATGGCGCAAAACCAAATAAGACTTTTTTACCAACAAAGATACATATTCCACGAATCTAAGTCTACAATCAAATATAACACCAAGGTTTTTATTAAAATTCACAATGTTAGATTTAGGAGAAAAGAACATTACACTACATTTTTTAGCATTAAGTTGAAGATTCGTATACCAATGGCGAAAACATTTGATTTGTCAGCTTGTCTGCAGAAATGTTTGTATTTTGGGGGAGTTCGTAGTTTTAATGCTCTCCCCGAGGAGATTCAAAATGGACGCAGTTTAAATGTATTTATTAAAAAAAGTATACAAATATTTGAAAGATTTTTGCGTAGCTAGCTGAGAATATACTTTGATTTTTTTTTATTTTGTACTGAGTAGCCAAGTGATTAGGAACTTGTTCGGGAAGTCCGAACAAATAAAATAAATTCTGAATACGCTACACGTTAAGCACGCTGGCAACCCGTGACAAACTGAAATGAGCGATGCGAAGAAGCGTCTCCGGTTTGCTGGCGATTAATAGTATCGTTCGTTTTTATAAAGATTTTATTAATTTTCCGATTCGTAAAGTGAAATCTCGTTCCTGCGTTACGTTAAGTGTGTGTTATCTAAAAATGATTATATTTTTAATTATAAACGCAAGGAATACCATGTTGGCGATAATTAGGTCACTTCATTAAAACTTTTTGGCTTTTGAATTGCCCGGACGTTGCAACCGCAATAGAACTTATTATTATTACTTTCATTATTAATAATTTTCCAATACCCAATAACATACCACTTACCATACCATACGCCCTTACTGGAAACCTGGTATAAGGGAATTGTTACAAATCACATCAAATTAAAGAAGCGTCTTTTAGTAACAAACAATGTTAGTGTGGAAGAAACGCAAATGGATTAGCATAAACAAATCCACCGAAAATCTTTTGCGTTAGTAACAAAATCCATCCAGGTTTCATCATCCCCAAATAGGTACAAACGTCACACACGCGCACCAAGTAAAGCAAAAAGTGACATCCCTCGATAGCGGGAGAAAGAAGAGTCACTTTGTCGCCTCACCCGGCCCGCCCACTACTGACTGGCGGCCCCCGTCTATTATTCACCTGTTTCGTCGGTCCTGGTGACAGTTCGGCGGTCACGTGTTCATCTGCGGGTGACGATGCCTGCGATGGAAGCCCGTTGGCGTTTCCGTTCGTCAGGGGGACAACGTCGGGATCGGAGTCTAACGGGGCGATAGGTTCGGGAACGGAATCGACGGGCGGAAGAGACATCGGTTCCGGTAAACTTTCCGACACCGGTTCCGGGAGACTCGGAAGGGATTCCGTCGAAATATCCTGCAGGGAATCGGCAGGCGCTACCGCTTCGGACGTGTCTTCTTTTAACTCGGCCGGAGGGGTAGAAGTTACCGCCTCCGGTGCTGGAGTTTCGGAAATATCTTCCTTTTCGACGGGAGGAATAACGACTTCAGACGCACTTTCTTCCTTCGGATCGGTGACGGGGGGCGTAGGGGGGGATACTTCCGCGAGGTTTTCGCTAGTGTCTTGGTCTTGAGAGGTATCCCCCGTTACGGAAACGACTTCCGGCTGGTGTTCAGCAGGAGGGCTCTCCGAATCTGCCGCAGGAAGTGGGGAATCTACGGGTGGAGCGGAAACTTCCGAGACGGCCGAGGGAGCCGGCGGCGGAGTGCTCCGTTCTTCGTCAGTCTTAACGGGTGGGGGTTCGGGCACGGGAGTTTCAACGACCCCCGAAATCAGTTTAACCTCTTCGGAGGGTATTTCGGGGGGTGGCGCGATGTTTTCTACCGCGGGCTCCTGAGGCACTTGGCCCGCGGATAGAGCGGTTTCGGCTTTGGTGGACTCAGCGAAGACCGTCACCGGGGATGGAGGATTGGAGGCAGGCAATGGAGGGGGCGCTTCTTCGGTACGCACCTCTTTGGCGGACTCTGGGATTCCTTCGGGTTCGGATTGTGCGACCGCCTGGGGTTCCTCCATGGCTTCCGATTCCTTCGGGACTCCCACGGCTGCCGCTTCGGATTGTGCAGGTTTGACTTCCGATTTGACATCGGCAGATTCCTCCGGGATGGCGGGTATGTCGGCGGGTTTCGCGTCCTCTTCGGCTTTCGCGGGCTCGGATGGCGTGGCGGCCTTTTCCTCAGCGTTCTGGAACCACAAACGATATGACTAAATATTAATGACCGTCGAAGCAATATGTTATAATCGAGGACGTTTGAGTGCGCGTGTGCGCTTCAATGGTTACGTGGGAAGTATTCGATTCAATTGTTTCGTGGACGTCAGTATTGATCGATGATTGCGTTAATCGCTTATAAGCGGGTGTACTTAGGCGAGGTTCAAAAGAGAAATTAGACTAACGACAGATGACAAAAACCAAAAATAATCAATTAAAACCGTTTGTCAAATACGCATCGCTGTCCGTCACTACGCCGAGCATCGAAATGTAGCGTTAACACGACTTGACGTGTCCAATAAGGAACTTGTCCATTTTTTTATATATAAAAACACATTGCACCAAATATTAACCCTTACATCTGGCAATACTTGTTTCACAATAAATAGTTGACGCAGGAAAGTACACGTCACGTTACGAGTATATCAGCCATTTTAAGCATTTCCCACTATTTCTTACAAAATTTGCATCGTTAGACTCGGGTCTCAAGTGTTTAATTGCCAATTGTTGTATTTATTATGGAAACTACACGTTATAAATACAGTATCGTTTCTTTTTGTACTAGTCCAACTGCGACAATCACTAAAAGCATGCAGAAGAGATGTAGGGGATTATTCTAAGAGCACAAACATTCACGCATGTAAAAATTATATCAATGAAAGTGTAAATATAAATAACTAGGTTTGGGTAAACTTGTTACTTTGTCAGTAAATTTATTGCATACATACTTAAATATAAAAAATATATACATTAATTTTATTTAGATATAGGTAACTAACTATCTTGTAAAAGTATTAGTTAGGTGCCAATTATTTATATTGAATAAATATTTGACTATGTATATTTTCTTTGTTTCAAATTGCGAAAGATATGGATAATTATGTACACTTTAAACTAATGGGTGGTAAAAAATAATGAAACCTCATGTATTTCCTCACATTTGTAAATGTCAGCCAAACAGAAAAAGAACATTTTTAATACGGCAAACTAGTTTCAGTCCTCAAACCAGTGACATGGCCATGGACGTGGAAAGTGCAGCTTCTTTGCCACAAACAAGTGTTTCGTTAAAAAAGGATGTTTGCATGGTGCCGACCTGTAATGTTTAGAAGCAAGTAGTGTAATGTAAATTAAATTTTTTGCGTTAGTTTGTTTCCAATTAAATTTTATCATGAAGTAATTTTTTTATGCTCAACAATAATGAAGTTGCAAAATACGCCCAGGTTACTTGGGCCTTGGGATTACCTTATTATTATGTACTCCATTTGCTTGTAAAATATTGTAAAATAGATTCTAAGCATATATTTTTGAATTAAAAAAAAGAACCGGGAGAAAACTTGCTTAGGAGATGATTTTGGAATAAGCGAGAAAAACCATCATAAATTTTGTTTCGGGAGGTTTTGAGGGTCGAGTCTCAGGACACAGTTATTGTGGAACATAGTGGGTTTTTGAACATATTGAACATTTATTAGTAGTTAAAGACCGTCTTCTAGTTAAGCCCTCAACTATTTCTAGTGGTACAAAACCCAGAAGAGATGAAGTTCGTGAAACAAAAAGAATAGCTAGTTTGAGAATACATGTTGAAAAATGTATTCGTAGGTTAAGAGAATTTTCATTTTTAGCGCCTCATGCCTACATGGACAATAAATTATTACGATATACTGATAATATAATCAGGCATAATTTTTTTATTATTATTATATATGAAAATAACTAAATACCACGAAATACAACGGACTGATGTCACAACTAATGGAAGGCGTTTTAAGACCGGGTAAAATTATTCAAATTTAAAACCTTTATTTCTAGGTAATTTAATTGTGATTGGATTTTTTCTCTTTACAGGAACTTCATATGTTCATATGTTATCTTACAATTTTAACTGTTTTTAGATGATTTTATTTTTTGAGCAGGTGTTCGTCGGTGGGTTTTTCAACGCGACAAAATACGCCTGTGATATTTGAATTTTTTTGTTTGTACTAGATTAACGAAGGTAACGAAGGAGAAATGTTGTGGAACACCAGTGTTTTTGATTTTATCGGTTAGTTATTTACTGGTTAAAAGGGTTCGGGTTGACAACAGGAAACTTGAACAATTAATATTATTAGTTAGCGAATATGAAGAGATATATGATATGAGCAACCAAAAATTATAACAATCAGTTGATGAGGGTCAACGTATGTACGCAGTATCAATGATGTTTTCTTTAATGCTAAAAGAAATGGTTTATCTGTTGAAAAACTGTCCGAACTGCTTGTACTAAACATTTCAATCGTATCGCTTCGACTTGAAGCTTATATGTGAATTCACATAGCTAGATTAACGCTTTGTCGCAAAACCAAGTGCACGGCGAGGCGTATAGGAGAACCGGACTTAATTTTAAATTCTTTTGGAATGCTGGATAATAAAATGATAACAGGGATAAATTTAGGTTCAAACACACAAAAAATTACGATACAGGTATTTAGATATATAATAAAAAAATAAAATACAATTTATTTTAAATTTAAATTTCGACTATACACACAAGGTGGTTCAGTAGTGTGGCAAATTACAATATCTAGGGTTGTAAAGTTGACCGGACAATTTTTTTTGTGTCCATTAAGAAACGAAATAATTTTTAAAATACCATTAAATTTATATTTATTTATTTATATTATAGGTAAATTGGGCGTCACAAATACGTAATAATTTATTATAAAATACGCATTTCTATTAAATAATAATAGATAACAGTCTACAATTGCAAGATGTTATTTAAATATTTTTTGACCGGTCAATTAAGAAGTGGTCAATTGAGGGTCAATTGACCAGTCCCAACACTAACAATATCTCACAACATCGAAAGCCAAACATTAAAAAAAGAATCTATTTTATAGTAGTAATTCAAAGATATTTTTGAGTCGGGTTGACAATTCGATTACTCTTATTACGAAACCAAGTGAACATACACATTTTGAAAACAGTTTCCTATTCTAATTATTATTTCGTTTTTTGTCGTAGGTTTATTATTTAGGTTATAAAAACAAATATCTAATTTTCGACTCTTTTCTATAAAATATCCAATCATAAACCGATCGAGCGTGAGCTAAGTGCCACATTAAGATGTCAGCCTCCTGAACCACCGTTTAATAAGCGATACTTTGGTGACGAGATTGTTTTGGCGAAACGAGGCGGAGTGGGTACTTAATAAAAAAATAAATAAAAAATGTAGTTAACGTGTTGCTTACTATACTTTTTACACGACCATTGTATATTTTTGGAAAATGGAATAAATTCAATGAGAGACGTGTAACATCTTCACAAGAATTCATAAACATCAAATCATCAGCTGTGAATAAAGTCTCTCGAAAATATCCGACCGCTTTCCAACCCTCTAGAAAAATTTTCAAATCTTCAAAACATCAGTGACATATCGTGATGTTGACTAGATAACTCTCTCGGATGCTAGAATGAACCGAATGAATGAATAAAACCCTCCTGACAAATCTACAGTGTGTCCAAGATAAAGATGTCTATCATGGGGATATTGGAAACCATATGAGATACAAAATCTACCGATTTCGTGTATATATTTTTTCTGGTGTGCTACTTTTTAAGCTTTACAAGATAGCGTTGAGTGATTTTAAGTACAACATTTCGTTCCGTTTATTAAATTCTCAATGTGTCGAGCTCAAAAAGTGACCCTTATTTTTCAAATGTCCTTCGGAAAATTTTAATTTTTTTGGCGTAAGTGATGGGCTTTTTTTTTGTTTTCCCAGCAGCACGTTATAAACCTTTAAATTATGCAACTTTTTTTAATTAAGCATCTCTTATAGTTTCCAATATCTTCGTGATAGAAGTGCTTTTCTTGTACATACAAGCTTTGTCAAGATAAATTAAAAGGTTTTGGAGTAGGCATTTAAGAAAAAAATGTTTTTTCCTATACCTGTCATCTTGAAAATGAGGTACGAGTTTTGAAACACCCAGTAAAGACCGTAAATTCAGTAAAATTGTTACACCTACGGGCTTGTAACTAAATTTTACACATTACTTGGTACCACTTTTTTTTTTTGAAAATATTGAATATCCCTCCTCAATATTTTTTTATGTTGGTTTCAGAAGTATTCACTATAGGTATAGGGCCTCTAATTATCTAGCAGATATATGACAATTAGCCACCGATCAGCTAAAAATAAGGTTTTATTTTCTAAAACGATATATGCCCCTGTAATACGCAGCATTAGAAACTCATTTTTTCACGGGGTTTTTCAGTTTTTCTCTACCGGTTAGTACATGATATCAATCTACGGACTAAGCCTCAGATGCTTACTAGGATAGTTGAAAGGGTCACAGACACTGGAAACTTGGCAGATGACAAACGTTTAGTCCTAATCTCCACATGAGAAAAACTGATGATTATAGTGGATTTAACTAGTCACTGTAAGGAAAACTGTCCTATTCAACGTATTCACACTTCATTTTTGTAGGTTACTTTATACCAAGAGAACTTTTGTAAGGGAATTTTAGGAAATGAGTTAAGCTATTCGTGCGGTCATCGGAGGTTTTTACAATTTAAAAAGTATACATCATTGGAAACGTGTGAAAATAAACAATATCTTTTTTCACACAAACGTAGTCAGATGAACGATGATCACCAGGGACGATTAAAGTGATTGCAGTAGCGAAAATGAAAACGAACCCAAAGGACTATTGTTGTGAAAGCAATAATGTGGACTAAGAGATGGCTATACATTCTTGACAAACTTGACCATTTGGGTGAGTACACCCATATTGTGCCTTGTGTCAAACATTTGTTCGATGTGAAAAATTCAGGAATAGATGATTCTTTTAACCTCGTTATCTCTTTCCTTTTCGCTATCGATCTCCGGAATCCTGTCCCCGGGTTAGGCATATATCAAATATAACCTTTCTTAAAATTTAAAAGTAGTAGGAATAATTAGTATTTAGTAACTATGACGGTAAATCGCATCGGCAC